TTTTCAGTATCACAACGATAATTATCATAAGTGTTTTCTTGAATCGAAATCAAATTGTTCTGACTCAAATGTTTTAAATTTAAGTTTACATTGGCATTTTTTATTTCACTTTTTTTCCTACTTTACTTTATACATACATTTTTACCAGACAAACAAAATAACAATAAAAAAAAATAAATTTAAGGGAATAAAATAGACAAATAACTGTTATATGCGTTGGGTATACACAAATCTGTTATACCAACATAATATGAAGACAGAAACTATCAAGCAAAGTGAAATAATGAAATTTTGCAGATTAAAAATATAAAAAGTAAAAAAAAATAACAAAAAATTCGCGCATTTATGACTAAACAAAAATGATGAATCAAATTTTTGAATTTCACCTTTCACGCACTAGACGTTCACGTATAACAAAAACATAAACTTAACCATACATTGGCTATAAAGAAGAAAAACGTCATATGAACATACACAAACAACTAATACACAAAATATAATTATAAAATGAAATATATTTTACAGATAAATATTAGCAGAATCAATTAAATTGTTATACGAATCAGTATAACAAAACTTTTTTAAAATGACATCCAATATTTTCGGCACGTTTTAACTTTTTGGCACCCATGCGACGATATTTAATTCAAGCAAATTCTATGTTTAAACTATTTTTTTATTAATTTTATGATTTTTAATCATTTGTACAAGAAACCTGCATTGTTTATTAAAATATGTGACAATGGGCATCTACCAATGTATAGATCTACCGCCAAATTGTCTTATTTAGCATTTAAAATTTTATTTCAAATTTTTCTATTGCACATACTAGATTTATTGATAAAATTGAAATTAGCAACATTTGTTTATGAGTATAAATATAGCGCTTACGCTAGGTTTTTAGGAAAAAAACTAACATGGTACATAAAATACATACGCACATTTACATATATAATTGGATATTATCACACAAAGATATGCGTATCGACACAAAAATATTTTACCAGTATTAAAATTCTATATATTGATATAATTTTTTTTATTTCCGTTTGGTACACCTTTCGTATAAATGTTTAATGCCACTGCTGAGCCAAACATTCAGTCCACGTTTTTTTTTTGTGTTCTTTGTTTACATCTGCAAAAATTTATTTTTGTTTTTTTTTTTCACATTGACATAAAACATGTGGCCCTCTCATTGACGTATATACAATTTTTGTTTTATTCCCCAGTATTGAAGTTAGATATTTCCCCATTTTCAACTTCAACACTTTCATTGTATACACTGGCTGATGGAATACATGTTAATTTTTGTATAAACACTTAATGCCAATGTGTAGTCATGTTGTGTTTTTTATTTGAAAAAACAAAGATTTCTTTAAAAAAATTTAAAGGAAAATGAAGATAAATTGTAGAAAATTTTATTTTAGCTTTCTAGACATGCATATGTATGTATATACATATTTAACAAAACGAGATTTGTATGGAATCGTTGGACAAAGGTGAATTTCAGGTAATTATATGTTGTTAAAAATGGTATGCACTAAGGAGTATGTGTGCACAATGTTAAAGAAAACACATGGTTTGATTAGATAGACAACCGTAGATTCTTGATTTTTAAGAACGCATTAAAAAAATTACATTTCTAATTTTACAATAAATCTCAAGTAAGTGTTAGAAAATTATTGCGGAAAAATTAGCAATGTATGTGATTTTCTAGCTTTTTTTTGTGTGAATTAAATTTTTATAAGCATATTCTCAATGAAAATCATATTATCCAGTTTTATAATTTATTAAAGAAGACACTAATTCTATGAGCAAATATTTTGGGTTAACGAAAATTTAATGCTATCACAGTATTTAATTAATCAATGATAGTGTTGTCAGAAGCTTTCTAAATATCGCTTTATCTAAACACATAATCATAAAATCCACTGTATAGTGCATAATATGAGTATACTTATGCTTAAACTTTATATATTTATACATAATAATTACATATATGTATGTACATACATACGTGTGAATAAATTTGCTATGAAATTTTATTGACTTTTAGCAAAATAGCTGATCATTAAGTTTATTTTTAGAATTTCAAAATCTGTGGCAAGTATCATTCCTATATACATCTGTAGCTACATATATAGCTGCATACATCATAATTAAAATATTAAAATTATACTCTGTTTTGTGTGTTTTGAATAACACAATCAACGCATATATGTATGTATGTAAGTATATTCAATTCAATATATGCATACATAAATTTAAATGCACATATTATTGTATCGTACTCCAGAACAGAATCCGTCTCAGGACAGTTCCATTCCATTTACTTGTAAAATATATATGTACTTATGTACATTTTACATAGTCATATACTATATACATATGAGACTCATACATATATATATACACATTAAATTATTAACCAACCATTTTTTTTTTGAAAGAACTAATTCTGGTATGAAAAAATAGAATAAAAAAAATCAATAGTTAAAAATTAAAGCACGTTAAAAATAATGTTTCCGAAACAAAAACAAGAAAACTTAAATAAAGAAAACTACAATTTCAAATAAAAAATAAAGAAGTACATTAAACTTCAACATTTTTTCTGTAGCCATGATTCATATACAGTATACACATACATATATATACAACATTCATACATATATGCTTTAAAATCACATAATTCTCTTTCTGGACACATGTTTTAATTAAAAATATTGTTAATAAAATACATATGTATTTATGAGTTCGTATTTATATGCATATTTATATATGTATGTATGTATGTACATATTCATTTCATTCGAATGTAGATATCGATCCATACACAATATTTAACAAAAAAAAGTTTTACTGTAATATTTCACCTTTAATAAATGCACCTTGATTCTCCATACTTTTTACATATTTTAAATTTTTTAAATTGCACAATTATTTGATTTTTTTATTTACTAAAAATTAATTTAAAAACTAGTTTTTAAAATTGCAAAATCATGAAATTGGCGACCGGTCTTTATTTTTAACGCGCGCGCAATTCAATAAAATAAAATATTCACTATTCAATGGTATGATGGCCTTTTGTTTTTAATAGGAATATAGCAATATTCAACCGCATTTATTGTAATATAGCCATATAAAATGGTTTTCTGCAAAATACTCAGCATGTATAAAGCTGCAATAAAGAAACAACATTCGTTTTTCACCTTACATCCTAATCTCTTATAAGATTTACATCAGGGGAATAATTTTCCATTTTCTGATTGGAAAAAATATTGTCGTGTTTTTAAAAAAGAATTTTAATATCATTGCCAATACATTGTAAAAAATCTTTTAAATTTAATTAAAGTGAAACGTCATGTCACTATACATTTACGTGTACACAAAGAAGCTTTGTCCTCTAATTTAAGAGATTTTTTTTATTTTATTTACTTCAATATTCAAACGTTTCAAACAAGGTACTGTCAAAACCTCCTAAATATAAAATTCGATAACTTCTTGATTTCTTATTATTACACTTATCTTCATATATCAAATGAGAAATACCAATAACCAATAAAATTGTATTTTATACTGAAGCAAATTTTGTTAATTTCAATTTTATAATCTTAATTAAAGTTTTATAAGGTGAGGATTTGAATATAAGAGCTAATAATATACATTTAGCATTCGTCGCAACCCTCTTCTGTATATGAAGTCATTTTACCACTTAGATATTTGTGTAAAGGAAGAAAAATGAATATGTAGCATAAATTTACCGCTTAGCACTCCTACACAAGCAAAATTTTCTTCTCGTTTATTTTTATTTCATTATTTTATAAATTTCAAATAGTTTATTGCGCGAATACTTTATTCAAAACTAAAGGAATGAAACTACACATTGAAATGAAAAGTATTTCATACACACATACTACACATCCCGACATGACCAAATAAAGGCCTTGACACTGGGAGTAGTTGACAGTTTGCAAAAGATGGAAAATGAAAATTTTACATGTGTGCTCTTTTTGCTGATTCCCTTTAGTTAAATAAAATTTCTCTTCATTTTTTTAAATATTTTAACATTTAGTACTTCTGTCATATACATTCACATACCAAAAAAATACTTATGTACGTTTTGTTCACAAGAAAAAAAAATATTTGACGTTTTGTTTACAACAACAAAAAAAAAAAAGAATATTGAAACTTTTTTATTATTTAACACCGCAAACTTGGAATTGAAATTTCGAATTCGTGTTTGTGCATTTAAAATATTTACGTAATATATTTTTGACAGCTGAATTTGAACATAACGGCTCTGCTGAGATAAAATATAAAATAAAATTTTTGATCATTTTTCAATTTACTTTTAAAATCATGAGAGAATGTAGACAGTAGAATAAAACATCTTTTGTTTCCATTTTCAAACTTTGTAAAATTTTCAACATAGAGTTTGCAACTATACGAGATTGCATAAAATTTACTCCTATATCTGTTTTTGGAACCTTAACGATGTTATAATTATGTTATGATAGTTTGTCTGCTGTCTTCATGTATCTTATTTTAGTGAAAATGACAGTATCTTTTAACATAAAAAGGTAGGGTATAATAACAACAAAAAATTTGTCCACGTTTATATTTTATTTTTAATGAAAGATTTTAAATACAATTTGTTGCTTTATCTCTATGCATAATATGAAATTGCTCGTATTTACGGTATTTATGTACTCCAATAAACAGTGTATGTATGTATACGTAAATATAATTTTATCAGATGTTTACAAATATATAAATATCATTTAATAGAAATTATATTGTAGTAGATTGTAGAAAGACGAAAACAACAAGCAAGTTAAATGGCACAAATTAATAAAGCTATAAATTGCTATATACTTATACATACATACATACTTATGTATGTATATTTATACATTGTGTTTGTCAGTTTAAATCGTACATCATTTATTATTTAGCTATTGTGATTTGTGAATTGTGGCTGTGGATATTGAGCCTTTAGTCTCTGAAAATAAAAAATATCTCTTTAGTTTCAATATACCCGGCATAGTTAGAGCGTCGTTGAATTGATTTCAACAGGATTGAAAGTTATATCTTGCTCTTTAGAAGAATAATTTATTACAATTAAAATCAAGTTTGTGAAACTTTCGTACATCGGATCTTTATATAGAATATAAATAGAATTCAGTTTATTTAACAATGAACCACTTAAGAAAAATTCCTCTCCGCATGGTTAGTGATAATTTTTAATTAAATAAAAGTCATTTTAATATTAAAATTTTTTAAAAATTAAATTTAATGGTTAATATTTAATTAAGCACCCACCTATTAATTTTTCTAAAACTAATTTCAATAGAAAATATTAGAAACCAGATAGTGATAGTGTAATTTTCTTTTTATTTTAGATTAAAAATGCTTTTCAAAGACAGCAATATGCCCCATTTTCTGCTGCTAGTTTGGAAGCTGTAAAAATGCCAGCTTTGACATTTCTTACAGATGATGAAAAAATGATGAAAGACACAGGTACTGTACATACATATATATTCTATAATTGTAGATACATAGACATGAAGGTACTGTTAGGTATCTTTAAATACACATTGTACTTATATATATACGTTAGCATTTAATATTTATATATATATATATATATATATATATATAAATATTAAATTCTGACTAAAATGCCTACTAAGTTGATACCTAGGTACCTTAGCACTTTAATATTTTCAGTTAAGTAAAACTAAATGCATACACATTCATACATCATAATTATTACAAATGCACAGATACGATAATAATTAATAATAATAATAATTAATACGATAATAATGGATCAGATACGATCACAAAAATCCTGAAAGAGTAACAATTGTATTATTATTTTTATATTAATTTTATTTTAATTTTATTATTAATTTGAATAAATGGACTTAGTTATGACTTATGTAACTTCACATATAATCCAACATTCGTATGTATATTCATGCAATCGTGCAAGTATTTAGACACACAAACCTAGTTACATCATTCATATGCATTATGCATGTAGTAATGAATGTTCCATTAATTGTCTAATTCAAAAGTATGTTAATTAATACCTACATAATTGAAAAATTATTTTAATTTCATTATTTGCATTAATTTTGACACAAATGTAATTCAATAAATTGGGATGTACATATGTATGTCCAGATGAAGGTACTTAGTTTGATGTGTGTATGTATATGTATATGTATGTTATACATATTTATTGAATTAATTTTCATTTGTAGAAAGTAAATTTTTCTAAGGTTCAAAGTGCGCACTGTCCGATGAAACTTTTATTATACATTATCAATGCTGTTTTTATTTGTTTTCTTATTCAAATAAATATGTGGGTACCTACACTCTTAAACATATATGGAAGTACATTTTAAATATATAGGTATATAGGTACATAAGTAGGTGCGTATGTATGCACACTAAAATTTTTTTTTGTCATTTAATAATATTTTGCTTTCTTTTCCAAGCCGCGTTAATTTTAAATATGTATAAAATAAATTTTTATATAATTGGATAAGGAATAGGTACATGCCCACATTCTATTTAAGATCGAATATAAAAAATGAAATTGTTTACGTCAAATCGTCAAGGTCATTCAAAATAAATTTTCTGTTTATTTTTTTTAAGAATATTATTACATACGTTGACACATTAAATTTAAATAATGTTATAAATTAATTTCCAAAAAATGTTGGTACTAATTAATAAATAGGGCATTTATGGACTACACTAACATTTTCATTGACTTCCTTAATTTTTTTGCTATTTTAATTATTTAGTTTCAGAAAACTTTACTGTCATGATGAAATGTGGGTGATAATCTAAAGTGTATCATACACTTTAAATTTTTGAACAAAGACTTTTTGTTTTTAATAAAAATTTTTTCTCGTAAGGCGTAATTATTCTGGACAGATCCTTATGTATGTAAATATCAAAATGACGATCAATTTAGGGAAACTTATGCTCCATGCACGTACATACTACATATCCCAACGTGTCTTATCATATAATATTTTTACTAATTTGTTATTACAGTTTCTAGGTTAGCACAAGAAGTTGTTTCACCTCATGTTAAAAAAATGGATGAAAATCATTTGTTTGAAAAAGAAATCGTTGATGCTATGTTTCAGAACGGATTAATGGGTATAGAAATTCCCACAGATTTAGGTGGAAGTGGTTGCAATTTCATGACAACTATGCTAGTTGTTGAAGAATTGTCAAAAGTTTGTGGTGCTGTTGGAGCTTTGGTAGATATTCACAACACATTGGTTTGTTCACTCGTCATGAAAGTTGCTAACAAAGAACAAAAAGAGAAATATTTACCAAGATTAGCGCAAACAGATGTAATGCTATTTTAAAAACTGCAACTAAAATAAAATTTTATGCCTATATTTTTATATTTTTTTAGATTGGTAGTTTCGCTTTATCAGAACCAACTTCTGGATCTGACGCATTTTCTTTAAAAACAACTGCTAAGAAAGACGGAAATCATTATATTCTTAACGGTACTAAAATGTGGATTTCAAATTCAGACGTAGCGGGAATATTTTTAATCATGGCAAATGCCAAACCTGACGCTGTAAGATTGTGTTTTTCTTTCGTTTTAATAATTGTTCATTTTTTATTAAGAATTTAAATAAATTTTAGGGTTACAAAGGAATTACAACGTTTATTGTTGAACGAGACACTCCAGGCTTTTCCGTAGGTAAAAAAGAATCAAAATTGGGAATATGTGCTTCTGGCACATGCACTTTACATTTAGATAATGTAAGAGTACCAGAAGAAAACTTATTGGGTGAATTTGGAAAAGGTTATCAATATGCTGCAGGTTTCCTAAATGAGGGACGTATAGGTATCGCTTCGCAAATGCTTGGTATAGCACAAGGCTGTTTTGATGCAACTATACCTTATTTGCTGGAAAGAAAACAATTTGGTCAAGATATTTATTCTTTCCAATCAATGCAACATCAAATATCTACAATCGCGACAGAGATAGAAGCTGCGCGTTTATTAACATATAATGCTGCACGATTACAAGAAAATGGAAAACCATTTGTAAAAGAAGCAGCTATGGCCAAATACTACGCTTCTGAAGTAGCACAAAGGGCAACAATAAAATGTATTGACTGGATGGGTGGTGTTGGATTTACAAAAGATTTTCCGCAAGAGAAATTTTACAGAGATTGCAAAATTGGAGCTATTTATGAGGGAACAACAAACATGCAATTAAGTACAATTGCCAAATTTATTCGTAAAGAATATTCTTCATAATTAAAGTCCAAACATATACAACTATCACTACCCTTCGTACATGATTGAAGTATAAAATATCAAAAGATGATCTAAGGATTTAACGTTTAAATACATATTCTGCACGTCCATGCATATATGTACATACATATAATTACACATTATACATGTTATTTTATATTTATAATAATATGTAATTATAAGAATATAGATATGTATTGTTTGAGAAATCCTTTTACTGTGTACATATGTAGGAATACTTTTAAAACATTTAATATGCATAGAATTTTTTAATTTCGCGGTAATCGCAATAAAATGATCTTAGAAATCGCATTTATATCAAAAATATTGTTAATTTTTGAAAACTCTGTATAAAACTTTTTAATAAATTTTTTAAAATTTTATAATTAAAAGAAAACTTATAATTAATCATTTTAGGCTTAAAACTCGAAGTTTGATATTTTATTCCCCATTTCGACGAATGATAAAATTTGTATTTATATGTTTCTGTATGACAACTTTAGGCAATATTTATTTTCGAGATTTTATCTTATTTCCTACTTTGCAAAACGTATATGCATATGTAGGTTTAAATTTTATGTAAAATTTCTTTAAAATTAAATTGAAGCAGAAGATATTAATTTCGGAACCCCTTCAAGGACTCAAAAATTGTATTCATTCAAAAGCCATAATTTTGTATGCAGCCATAATTTTGTATGTGTATAACATGATACAATAGTTAATTTTTCCAAAATTGCGCATACACATTTTATATTAATTGAAATTTTTCTCTAAACACAAGCAGAATGGTTCTTATAGTATGTACAATACCATAGGAGCGATCGTGTTATTCATATGTGTATATATATATACATAAGTATATGCAAATTAATGCAAAGTTTATTTAATAAAAATGATTAAAATTTTACTGCAACAGAATTTAAATATATTTATCTGCATATATTTCTGTGGGAATTTGCCAAAATCCGGTATCCAAACAAATCTATGTATATTAAAGATCCAGGGTGGAACTTTCAATTCATATATGTATATAGGACATCAAAATTTGAACTAAATTAGCAATTTTAATGAAGTTAATTTTGTATGTATTTTAAATAAAAGAATCACCTCTCCTTAATTTTATTTCAAAAATCTTTTCTTGGACAAAACTATGTATTTCTTAAAATTTTCTTAGTTATAAAAATTAATTTTGTTTTGTTTTTAATTTAAATATTTCTTACCGTTTTTTTCTAGTTTTTGCTTTTCTCATTCATTTTGGTTGCACATACGAAGTTGATTTTTTCATCATTATATTCTTGTTCTACATTTTTATTTTAATCCCAAGTTTTTGAACTTACTAATAATAATTTATTATTTTTTCAAATTATACTTTTTTAACAATTTCAAAATTAAAAATGCGTAAATTTGTATATCGAAATTTTACATTTTCCCTCCGTAAAACAATAGTTGCTTCAACCATAGACCAATTTGATCAATAGACTGGCAGTAAAGTATATTTAACCTTGTCTATCTGACGATCCGACCTGACTTGTGTAACCATTTTCCGTAAAAAAATTTGATAATTTAGGAACCTATATGGTTTTGACAATCCTTTATACTAGTAAAATAAGTGAAAATTCGAAAAAAGACCGCTAGAAGGTTCATTAAAAAAATATACTATAACAATATGAACAAAATTTGATAAAAACAAAATTTAAAAAAACAAAAATAAAAAAATGGTTTTAATTAAAGATATAGAACGCAAAAAAAAATGAAAAGATATTTGTTTTATATTAATTTTCGATTATTAACTTTATTAAAAAGTGACTATAATTCTAATCTATATTATTTAATACGTCCCTTGAATGCTTCTTATTGGTAGCTATGATTTTATTACAAAAAATTGTTTCTAATTAAAATTTTTATTTCCATAATATTTAATTTATCACAAAAATAGAATATACCGCTTACTTTTCTTATTCATGATAAACAAACACCATTTTTGAGAAAGATTTTTTAATTTCTTTTAGCGATAAAGTATTCTAGAATCTAAACATGACATTTCATCTGTTCTTTCATTTTGTCCGAAAAATAATTTTTGCCCTGCCTTTTTGTTCTAGGCTTTTTGTTACATTAAGGTCACTTTAAGTCTTTTGTTATATTACTCTGACACGAGTTAGATTGTCAAAGTCACTAATAAAATTTCAACTTCGTCTAAATACAAGTACTTTTTTGGAAAAGTTTTATATGAATGTAAAAGACGAATCGACTCATAACCAATTCGTTGTAAATTGAGGGCCTGAGGTAAACAAAAAGGGATTATTCTTTAATTTTTCAGTAATTCTAGGAAATAATTTGACATATTGAACAAATTAAAAAAAAAAAGCATTCACTAAAAAATTTTTAATTTTTTAATTGAAAAAATGTACAACGTTGCCCTTTCAAAGGTAAAGGAAAAAAATTTTTATTTCGAAGTATTAAATGACAGTTAATATAATAGAAACTTTCTTGCCAATAACTTGCTAATGTAAGCGCTTCGTTGCGTATGCCGGATATAGGACTTAAATAATGAAGCTAATTGATGTTTACATTAGTCTTTCTTAATTATTTTTTGCTAGATAAAAAAATTAAATTCAAAACAACAAAGCAATTCTTCGGTAGTTTTTTATTTTTAAAAGCTATGAGTCTCTATTTTTATTAGTGGACTTTTGATGAAAAAAAATACGCCCGTGAAACTCTGATTATTATTTTTCAATTAGATAACTGAGTTTAAATTTAATTCAGCTTTGTGAAAGGATCTAAAAATAATTTTCTTGATTTGTGTTTAATGAAGTGCGAATGCTCTTAATTTTGACAGTTGATAAATTTCACACGTTTGAAAAGCAGTAACACGTGTTTGGTTGGGGCGTTAGATTGATTTTATTTGTCTTTAAAATGAAAACACATATGTTGCGATATGTAGTATTTGTAAATAAACATATAAATTGAAGTTTGCAGGTTACCGCTAAAATATGTACATATAAAAATAATTGTAACAAAAAGTAATTCGTGTGAATTCAATGTTTTTGTAATTTGATTGAAACGCTCATTAAAATACATACATATATTTAAAATATTTAAAAAATTTAAGATGTCGATTTACGATAATATCCATAGAGAATTATTAGTTCTTAGTCAAGGAATAACATCAGTTAAAATTTTAGACAGAAATAAATCAGTTGATCGTTTAGGTGAAATACTTACATCAAGTAAAGATGAAATATCTTACATCATGTGTAATAGCAGATACAACTCAGATTTAAGTTGGTCTAGTTTATATAACGCAGGTGTAGAATCTATAGTACAACATTCCCAAAAGCTAGACTCCAATGTGAAAGGCTATCAAACCTCCCTAAATAAAATTCCAATATATTCATCTTTATTATACAAAATAATAGAAAGCAGTTATGAATGTAAAAGGAGTAAAAATATATCGGCGAATACTTTGTACCAAGGTATTTTGACTTTAATCAGAAACAGACTTTGTCAAGAGCACTTTGGAAAAATGGTTTTACATATTATTGAAGAAACCCTGTTTTCCGAAAAGTGGGCAATTTTAGCAGATTTAAGAATAGATGACTATGTCGAACTGATTAATTGTGTATTTGCCTTAGCCGCAAAGAACGAAAAGTGTTTGAATATTGGCTTAAAATGTGCTGTTAAAGGTAAATAAAATCTAGATAGGTATTGTGCTGGAGTTCCAAAAGTTCTCGCAATTGTTTTTTAGGTATTGAAATGGGACTGAAATCATTTCAATTTACGCATTTGCTTTTTGAAATACTTCTACAAGTGCGCAAACTAACTTTGCGAAATCAAAATGATGATAAGGTTCTTGATTATTTAGTTAAATTAAATCTACTTATCTTAAAAGAATTAGCTGTCGATGGTCATCAAAAAGTTTTGAAGTATTACGTCGAAACAATAGAAAGTTTTTGTGGTTTCTACAAACCTTTAATGCGACAAGATTCTAAAGAAATACTATTTCAAATATATGAACTTTTACTTGATATTAATTTCTCTAATAAAGAAGATATTGAAAATTGGAATAGTAATACTCAGATAGATTGGAGCAAAATAAGCAGGAAATTGTTTTATGTTGTTGAAACCGAAATAAAGGAGAGGCATTGTAACTCTAATATGAATGAAGAAAGAAGTAAATCTTTAGAAAATTTAGCTGTGAAAGTTCTTCATTTGAAGTATATTGAAAAAAATATTGGAGCAAGTAGTGCTTTAAACGAGAGTGATGATGAAAACTTAAGCAAAAAATTGATCAAAAATTCAACGTCTTTGGCAGGTAAATATGGTTGATTGATCTCTTCATAATAAACTTTTGATTCTTGTATTTTTCAGATATTTTGGATATAATTAATGTAAATGATCGAATTTATAATCAACCAATTTGGTTTGCAGTTTTAGTGAAATTTCTTCATAATAAAAGAAATTTAATTGATGTCATATCTCATAAAACTCTTTTGGAAATCACGGTTGAATTTTCTAAACAAAATTTTGATATTTTGAACGATATTAGAAGCGTAAAATATTTGGTGCAGTTACTGTTAGAGCAAGTGGATTTTTTTAAAACAGAAGTGTTAGATGTATTATGGTCAGATTTTGTAATATTTGTAGTAAAAGAGCTTACACATCATCAAGATGGAAATTTGCAATTGATGGAAAAACAAAAACTACTTCAATTGTTAATTAAATATGAAAAAGTTGATTTTGCTACTTGTGCAGATTTGATTAAATATTTTTTAAACACAAAAAAATGTTATGATAAAAATAATTTACAAATTTTAAAAGAAATGTTTGTAAATTATGGTACATCTATAGTAATACAATCAAATTTGAACGAACTTTTTCGACAATTATATTCAGCTTCAGTTGATTTGGTTTGTTATAATGATAATGAATACTTAACTTGCCTTGGGGAAGTTACTGTAATTTTAGTACTAAACAATTTTGATAATCTCGATAAAAATTTCATTCATTCGTCGAATGGGTTAGATACAAATTTTTTTCAAAATGAGAATTCAGAAATGTGTAAAGCGATTCAGTTTAAATATTTAAAACACTTTGTTGCACTTGAAAGTAGAAAAAATGACAAAATTTTAAAAACAAATATAAGTGAAAATAAAGTGAACTATTTAAATGAAAAAAAAATTGAAAGCTTGTTGGAGAATGTTGATTTTCAGTTAACAGAAAACTGTAAGCTTACTGAAAATTTGAATAAAATTGAAAAATTAATTACACTTATTGAGAACTTTTCTAAATTTAATGTTGCCGAATCGGACACAGAAGCTTGCCCGTTAAAAAAGAAATTTGGATTATTCATTCAGCGAATATGTAGTCAAATGGAAACCTGTTCAAACCAGATTCTTTTAAAACTAGGCGACGTAAAAATTTTTACAATAGTAAAACAAGTCTTACGCATAGTAATTAAAATAAAAGAAATTCGATTATTTAGCTATTCAGAAAAGTATATTTGTGATTTTGTAACTTTTATCAAAAGTTTATTGAACTTCCTAAAAGTTGAATCTTTGAATTGGGATTCAGAAATCGTAGATGATATTAAAATAAATGCTTTTGAGGTAATTGCGGTTATGGTTGAGTTTGATGGTTTTAAAGAAAATTCCTTTCAAATTTTGAACAATTGTGATCTATTTGAATCAAACAGCATAAAAATCAAAAATCCTAAAAATATTGAAGCCTTTTTCGATGTACTCCGGTTATTAAGTGAAAAAACTGAATTTTCAAACGTAAAAGTTGCAAATTGGGTTTTAGAAAAGTTGGAAATAATCTGTAAAATACATCACAATAATTTATATATTAGTACGAAAATAATTGATTCTTTGTATAATATATGTAAGTCGCTTAACAATTTTCCAGACAGCATTGTAGATATTTTTATAATTTTGTCCAGTTTTTTAAAAATATGTTATAAATCTAAATTTCATCCCGCTTTTAATTCCAAAGTTATATTATTACTCAAAGATGTGGCCCAAATTTGCCCGAATTTAATTTTAAATAATGAAGGTAAACCTATCTATTAATACAACCTATTATTATTTATTGTCTACTAAAATTTATCTTTGTCTATTTTTAGATATACGAGAACTCTATACAAAATCTATTGGTAAATTTTTTTCATCCTCCTCTCTAAAAGTTAAATTCAGTGTTGTGGAATGTGTTTCATATTTATTGGATCCCAAGTGGTTTTGTGGTACATTAGATATATCTGACGATTATGTAGAATTTTCAAGAGATGTGTACAAAAGTGTAAATTGGGAGATGTTATTAAGTAACAAAGATACGGATGACGAAATGGATTTAGACAAAAATATGAACATAAACTCATCAATTATTCAATTATTTTTTGCATTATTTGGATTTAGTTACGTAAATGGTCACCTTGGTTTTCTAGAATTAGCGGACTTTTGTAAAAATAATAATCTGAAACAAAGTTTTTTTAAAGATCGTCATTTAATTCAATTCGCAGAATATTTCGGATGTGAATTTGAAAATTTATCGGTTGAATCATGTAAAAATTTAATATTGTTTTGGTTTAAACAAAATTTTAAATTAGATGAACTTCCGTGGTTTTTATATTATCGAACTGAAAAAAAATTTTATGAACAAAACCTAGAAACGCTTGTGTTTAATGCTTTAAAAACCAATAAAGGGTACATTTCAGAAATTGAAGCTAAAATTAACACAAACAGAGACGTCTTCTTAAGAAATTCGTTGGAGAAATGTTACGCTTTCATCCTACCGTTTTCTTTGAAAATTATAACTCCAGAATCTGATTACGTTTTGATTAATTCAGATTATGTGCGAGAAGTCAATAATTTAATAGACTGCCTCAAAAGTTATAATATAAATTTATGTCGAAATTCAAAGTTATTGCAGATAGATCTCATAGTTTATAGTTTACTAAATCAATATTCTGACAATAAAGAGTTCTTCAAGTTAACAAATTTTAAAACACACTTTTCAAACATTGAAGATTTTGATTTTGAAACTTTACAATATTCACTGTGTAATTTAATTGACAAGAATGTACAATTTTGTGATTTTGCCGAATCAAATCCTTATGTTATGATTAAATTATTTGAACGCCTTAAGTGGAATATTTTTCAATCACATTTTATAAAGGAAAAATTGCTATGGATTTGTCGTTATTTAACTATAATCGATTTGCTAGATATTCGAGAAATTGAAAATGATACTAGCTGGTTTTTTGCCAAAGATATAATTTATTTTATTTCGTCAGTTCTGAAAAAATTTAATGATGACGCTTTTATTTTCAAACCAGTCCTAAACTTCATTGAAAACTTTTTGAAAAATTTGATCAGTTCTTCAGAGAAACTGGAAGATGAATTTTTCTTAATAATAAATCAAGTTATAGGGATGGTTGAAGATAAAAACAAGATTGAATCAATTTACACATTTTGTTTAAATTTTTTGGAAAATATATTTTGTTGGATAATTGAATCAAAAAACCAATTATTAAGCCGTCTTGAACCTTTGATGGAAAAGGAAATTTTTGAAGGTAGATTTGGAAGAAATGTTTTAGATAAAATCTAACTATATTTTACAAATTTTTTAGGGACTTCCATCGAAATTCACTGTCAGAGAATACCATCGATTAGTAGAAAAACAATTTTAGAAGATTTAAATGAATTTATTGGTAGTACATTAAGAAATAATTATACGATATCAAAACTTAACTTAAATATTAATAAAAAGAAGAAAGAGTTTTTAGATCTTTTGCAAAACCCACTGAACCAAAAATATATTTTGCAAATTTTCGATATATTGATTAACATAATTATAAGCGGTGAAAACAAAGAAAGTAATCGTGCTGTAGAATGCTTGGGAACCATTGGGCCGGTTTTTGTAGGCAAATACGCGTTCTTAAAAGAAAATGAGAATGAAAACTGTTATGAAAATGAGGAAACGTTCGAAAAAATAGTTGTTAAAGCAATTGAAAGAATCATGTTTGCGTATAATACGAAATCATACTCCGCTATTTTGTCATTAGCCGATATCATTACCCAAACGGAAAAATTTAAAATACACGCAAAAAGTGAAAGATTTCTTCAACCATTTTTTAAAAAACCCAACAGTGCAAAATCTAACGAAAACTTGTTTTCTAATCAAGTTAATGTGAATTTGAAGAAAATTATACATGAAAAAGCAAATGAAAAAAATTATGAAAATTTTTTAAGATATTTAACGTCTAAAATATTTAAAAAATTAAAATGGCCTGAGTTCGAAGCTGTAGCAACCGATTGTTATGAATTCGACAATCTCATTATTCTTCCATTATTTAAATTTCTTTTAAAAAATAATGAAACATTCAAAAATAGTATTATCGAAATGTTGGAACACTTTTATCAAGAAGCTTGCCATGTAATCGCTAATCAAGATGATGTAAAGAAAAACTATCTTAATAAACGAACAATAAAATTAATGCTGGACATTACAGAGTTATATCGCATCCAAAATAATTTTAATATTTCAATAAACTTATTGAATGCTGCAAACGTTGCAGCATACCAACAAGCATATTTCTTATCAATCTTTTACTTAGAAATGTGGGCAATGAATAAAATAAGTGATTCTTCATTTACATCAACTAATAACGAGCTATTGAAAAATAGCTTATTTCAAAAAATAGCATTGCAAGTATACAAAGCAATCGATTGTAAAGCAGCAATTAATGGATTTTTAAATCCTGTAGAATGTACTACTGAATTTTATAATAACAATAATGATTGGACGGATATACTCTTAGGTGAGCAGCAAAAACTTCTTAAAAATTGATTTTTAACAAAAAAAAATTATTTCTAGAAACGGATGCTTCTGAGAGTTGGAAGAATTCGCCGTATCTTATAGATATCCTCAAGCGTAATGGGTTGCTTTCGATATCAACGGTGCTACAAGAAAAATTTCAAAATCAGATTGATTATGAAACGTATTGGAGACTTGGAAACTGGGATATTCAAGTTCAAGATGTTAACCCAAAATCTAAAAATTGTATCCGAGTTGAAGCTTTAGATTATCAGTTTGAAAAAAATCATTATGCAGCGCTAAAAGCATTGAAGGACAAAGATGAAACTAATACTAAACGATCAACAGAATGTGCAAAAACCATCATCATGAGAATTTTGAAGGAGACAAGTATTGAATCTATGCAAAATTTCTATAAACATCTCACCAACTTAATGTTATTGCGACAAATTGAAGAGTTTTCTATAATTCAATATGCTTCAAGCGGGAAATCATCAAAAACTCCAGATTTAATTTTATCTAATTGGGATTTGGAATATGAAATGAGGTACGGAAATTTTGAAAGTAAAGAACGAACAATGGCACAAAAAATAACTCTTTTTGAACTATCTGGTACTCGCGCTCAACGAAAAATTTCTGAAAAATATGCAGATTCAAATGTTATAGCCAGATACTTACTTAATATGGTTGAAAATTGTAATAGTTTTAAATCTTCTGAAAATGTTTATTTAACTAAACGTTATTTATGTAAATTGAAAAATGTAAATAGTATTAGTGAAGAAATGAAGTGTAGAACAGATTTAATTAATGCTCATATATGCATACAAAATGGAAGGAAGCAAATGGGTTTGGAAATACTACGAAGTGTTATAAAAGAACCGTCAACGCCTCATAGTGTACTCTATCGAATTGATGCTAATAGACTATTAGGAAAATATCTAGCTGAATCAAATGATGAGAGTTTCGATGATCTTCAAAAGAAATATTTTAACAAGACAAAAATTTCTTTAGAAAGTAAGTAACAAAAAAATAAGGATATTTTTAAGATTTTTAAAATATTCGAAAAGTTAGAAAAGATATTGGTAATTAATACTGAACTAAAAATATTTTTCACTTTTTTTATATTTTTCCCGTGTAAAGAATTGGAAGCGATGATCACAAGTGGTAATATAAAAAATATCGATATGGCAAAATTCAGTGAAGTACGAAAGAATTTATATAAAAATATTGCTGAATATGCAGACAGAGAATATCAACTAGTGAATTCACATATAAAATCAGATGATTTTCAAAAGTCCATTGAAATCATGGAGAAAAATCGTAATGACGCTGAGTTAATAAAGCGGGTTATTTCTCCAGATGCTCCAGATTGTAGGATTAATACGGATTGTTATATTACTTTAGTTGGAAATTCGAAATTAGATGCGAATAATATCAAATATTTTCAAGAGAGCTGTTCAAAATATTTACAAATTGCTTTGGAACATTATATTGAATTCTGCAAAATGGATAATGCAGTACACTCATCCACTATTTATAGAATTATTGGCCTTTGGTTTTCAAACAAGACGGATGAAAAAATAAACGCTATCATAAAATTATCAGGAATTCCTAGCTATAAATTTGTGAACGTGCTAAGTCAATTGACAGCACAGTTAAATTCAAATGAATTAATCTTTATTGAAATTCTAAAGGATATTATTGTAAAATGTGTCTTAGATTATCCACATCACACTTTAAGCCATATTATTTGCTTAGATACTTCTAATGAAGATCGTCAATATTTTGGTCATAAAAAATCAAAAAATTTAGAAAATGATTTGCGATTGCAAAGAGTAAGGCAAATTGTAAACAACTTAAAAAGAGATGAAGTAATTTCGGAATTAATCAGTCAAATTCACCCAATGTTTATTAATTTGATTGAATGTGCCTATTGGAACATGCAAAAACCATCCGAAGTGAGAAAACAAATTAGAAACTTCAATATATCTCAGAAGTTGCAAAAAATGAAAAATTTAGATAAAGTACATTGCCCAACTGTAACATTAAAAATTCCTTTAACTACACATAAAGTTGCAAGACAAGAAATTGTAAGCATAATAGGATGGGATTCAAAATATGAGCCTGCGGGCGGAATAAATGCTCCCAAAAAAATTTATTGCAATTGTTCCGATGGAATAAAAAGACCACAGTTACTGAAAGGTAAAACAAAAGTTTAAAAAATTTATTGGAATTAAATTATAAATTTCATTGCTTCTTTAATATTAATGTTGTACTATTAAAAAATATTAAATTCATCTATAAAAAATTATTTCATAATTCATAAAAAATAAGTAAAAAGCTTTTCTATTTATTTAAGGTAATGATGATCTCCGCCAAGATGCCATAATGTTACAAGTTTTGCAATTCGTAAATAATTTACTTAAACAAGAAAATGAAGGTTCTAATTTGTCCATTCGCACTTATAAAGTTGTACCTTTATCAAAAAGGAGTGGTTTAATAGAATGGTGTGTGAATACAGTGCCTTTAGGTTATTATTTATGTGGGAATAATAAAATGGGTGGAGCCCATGCAAAATATAAACCTAATAATAAAAGTGTTGCTGAATGTCGAGAAGCTTTGAAAAATGTAAAGGATGATGGTCCAGAAACGAGAATAAAATGTTTTATTGAAATTTGTAAAAAAATTCAACCAGTTTTACATTACTTTTTTTTTGAAAGATTCAAAACACCGGGCGAATGGTTCGAAAGACGTCTTGCATATATGAACAGCGTGTCTACGACTTCTATGATAGGTTATATATTAGGATTGGGAGACAGGCACTGCCAAAATATTTTGCTTGATGAAAAAACAGCTGAAGTAATACATATTGATTTCGGAATCGCATTTGAAAAAGGTAAACTTATGCCTACTCCAGAAACTATTCCATTTCGTCTTACTAGAGAAATAGTTGCTCCGATGGGAATATGTGAAGTAAAAGGAATTTTTAAAAATTCTTGTGAAAATACCTTGCAGATATTACGTAACAACTCTCAAGTTTTACTTATTATATTAGAAGTTCTGTTACATGATCCATTATATAGTTGGTCAGTGAATGATAAAATTGTTAAAAGAATAAATGATGAATCTGATGGTGCATTCCATGCAGGCGAAAGTGACGAAAATAACGCACATAATGCTACAGCTTACAGGGCTTTAATGCGTGTCCAAAATAAATTGGAAGGTCGAACTGAGAGGCAAATTGGTTCATTTTCTGTAAGCACACATGTTGAAAAATTGATTGCGGAAGCTAGAAATGTTAAGAATTTAGGTTTACTTTACTGTGGGTGGGATCCATATTTATAAAATTTCATTATTTTTGTATTTTTATTACTTTATTGATTAATAAAATTAATATTCCTTCAATTTTTTTTTTGTTTCAATAAAAACTTGTTAATACAATACTACTTTTAGAACTTATCTTAAGACTGAGCCGTGTGTATTTATGAAGCTACTTACTCATTGTGAAATTAGGTGTAGAAAAAGTGCGCAGAAACTTTTTTCTATATTGACCTGGTTCTAAATAATATTTGCTTTGTCATTTTGTTATGCTTCTTATGTATATCAAAAGATTTTAATGCTATTCTAAAAAACGACTACCCCGGTTTTATGATTCGAATTCTTAATATGTATCTGGTGCCTGGTATTAAATGGTAAGCACAATATTTTTTTATTTAATTTATAAAATGGAAAATGTTCCACCAGTTTCGCATGAATGTTACAAGCGAATTAAATAATGTGTTCATAATTTTCTTTTGTTAATTATGAATATTTTGTTTTTTGGAATCGGTTTATTTTTTAATAAATAAAAAACGAATTTTTATATTAATTTATTATTTTTATTTTATTATTTGTTATCCGAGACAAACTATAAGAAATTTTTATTCACTAAATTATTTTAGGTATAAATACAAATATATTTATTTAACATATATCGCATATATGTAAAAAGGTATATGAATTACAATTACGTATATTTATTTATATTCTTGTTATATGTAATTATAATTAATTTATACATAATTTATATATAATTATTATACATGTAATACTAGCATTGCAGCTTTTTAATTTTTTTTATTTATTAAAAATTTTATTATATTAATTTTACTCATTATGTTTGTAAATTGTACATATATATAATATATAATGTATACTTATGTATACGTGTGTATATATTAAAGACTGTTAATTATTAATTAATATGATGAAAAGAAAAACTTACAAGTATTAATTTTGAATTCTTTCTTGTTTCTATTCAAAAATTTTCTAATTTCCTTTGTTATATATAATGAAACCCCCTTTAAAAGGGAAACCAATAAAATGGAAATGGATACGTCATGGTAAATGTTTTGTTTGTACTTATATTTCTTTATTACAAGAACATTTTATTATTTTTCAATATGGAGAAGTAGTTATTATCTGGATTAAGTAATCAATGTAAGTCTTTTATCTATCCAAAAGCAATATTACATAAATAAATAACATTTCTTCTCGGCTTTCCAGGAAATTATGGCAGCATGTAAAAAATTTTGGACGTAACACTCAATAAGAATTTTAGGCTTTTGTAAACTTGAAGAGCAATAAAAAAACATTATGTATAATTAAAATTAACGATGTTGACGTAAATATGTAAATTCAAATTTGAAATCCAATTAAATTTGAAGTTGAAAATCTTCAATTGTCAAAAAACAGTTGAGAGACAGAAAAATTTTGAGGTAAATTTTTAATTCACACGGTTGCATCTTAGTGAAATATTAAGTTATGTTTATTTTTTTGGAAATTTTATTAAATAAAATAAGATTTTGAAAGTAATTTTAAAAAATCATAATTTTAAATTTAAGAAATTTTGACCGTGATCGTGTATCTCGCCAAGTGAGAAAAGAGTGGGTAACTATTACATATGACTTTGTATAACTTTAATTTTCGAATGAGAAGAATTTTTTCGTTTTGCGTATCAACGTTTTTTTCTAAAAAGTACACAAAATTTAGTCATTTTTCATTCACTTTGTTCTTAAAGGTTCAGTTGATATTTTGAGAAAGTGCAGCGAAAATCTATTTGAAAAAGAAAGAAATTTAAAAAGAATCCTTTTTATCTATCTTATAATAGATAAAAAGGAATTCCGATTTAAAAGATAATAAAAAATTAAATGAAGAATCAAAATACATGATCCAGATGAAAAAAAAATGGTATGTAAAATGGTTAATAATTATTCTAAGTGGTACATAAAGTATAATCATTCAAAATTTTAAAAGTCACTTCACAAATTGTTTTAAATACATAATGTGTTACAATGTGTGTACGCACTTAAATAGTCATTTTAACCAGCCATAAATTAATATTCTTATTCTAAATTTTTAGTAATTATAGAATAATTTTTTTTTTGTTAAACAACTCAATAATAAGGTAATATATGTGTTTGTGTATTAAAACAAAAAATTAACAAAAATATTTTTCTTAATTTATTTTAATTTTTATTATCATTATTTGTTAATTTTGTAGAACCTACCATGATTTTATAAATTTATGAATTATTTCAGCAATATAAAAAATTTTCTATTTATTTTTTTCCTTTTTGATTGATTCTTAATAACGTTTAAGTTTTTTTTTTGAAAATTGTATAAAAAATTAAAAGATTTTATATAACTATTTTGTTTTTATATTTTTCTCAGCTTACGGTTTTATATACTTGTAATTATATATAGATGTGCATATAAATTAAATAATACAATCCCATATGTATGTATGTACAAATGTATGTTTAGTTTATTTTTCAATCAAAATTTTCTATAATTACAAATATTATAATTATTAATGCACATATACATTAAAATATATGTACAAATCTGGGAACTATCATCTAAATTTTAATAACTATTACAATAAATGTTTAAATTTATGCATTTTCTCTTAACTATTCGCATACTGCACAGTAATGTTGTGATGATGCAATCATACAATGCCAATTCTATTATTCGGATCATTGAAATTTTTCAATATTTTAATTATTACGTTATTTTTTTTTTTTTAATTATCATTTGCCAATTCAGAGTTTAAGGGTTTTCGAAAATTTAATTTTAATGCATACTTTATTGAATCGAAACTTCAAAATCTTCAAAAGTAGCTTGTTCGATGAATTTTTAAAACAAAAAAAGCACCTTAAGTGCAAGAACTTTAAGTGCATATCTGAATTATCGAAAACCTTCTTCAAAATTAATCTTTTCAAATTTTTTCTTTGAATTCTGTTTCATAAGAAAATATAGCAAATAAATTTTTGGAGAAATTTCTTAATAACGTAGAATTTAGTTTTAAAATTGAATTGAGAAAATAAAATTCAGTTCTTATTTAAGTCTAAAATTTCTATTACAAATAATCAGTTATGGTAATTTCTTCTCTTAATAGAGATTTCTTCTTCATGAAGATGATAGTATTTCCACTGACTAATATTCTATTATTTGTTCACTTGAAGTGAATATATTTTGATTTTCATTGTAGAATTTCTAGTTTTGAAATTGATTTTATTTAAAAAATTATAAGATTTTTGAATAATATTGATGCAACTAACATAATGTGACTGAATATTTACTAATTTACTAATTAACCATAAATTTTCTTATTCATTTTACTTACAGTGCTTGAGCATATAATTTTTCCCATATTGTTCCTAAAAGTTCATATCTCAAAGTTAGATTTTCCAGTCTTTATGAACAAAAGAGAACTTGAAAATAATTGAAGCCAAAAAAAAAGAAAATTCAATTCTTTATTAAATTCAAATAAATAGAAAATGTATATTTTTATTACAATGAAGTAGTTCTTTAAATTTAAGCAATATGAAGAATAACTTTTATAATTTCGTGCAGAAATTTCATTGAAAATAAATCTCGATATACTAAAAAAATTAAATAATTTAAATATAATTTTTCATTTATCAAATAGGCAGATTTAAAGAATTAATAACTTGAAATACACGTGGATTCAATAAAAGATTTTATGTAGAACATAAATTTCAAAATATTTTATTTTTTGTAAAAATTCAAAATCATGGATAACTAAAAACATAGGGGTGCACAATAGTACATGTTTAACATTTTAAGTAAGAAACTGACTTAGTTTTTCAAATAGGAAAATTTTTTTTATTGTTTTATTTCTAATTAAATTATATTAATTACAGACAATTACACTGTTGTATTATATCCTATTAATCTTAAAATATAATAGAATGTTATTAATTATTTTGTTCATTGAAACAAATTTTTATTTTATCTGTTTTTTTTTCTTAAGAAATGAATTAAATGGTGATTAAAATAGATTATAATTATTACAATTAATATTATTATATTATAAAATATACCATCTATATATTGAAATATTCCAGATTTTTTTAAAAAATAACTTTCGAAATAAAAATTTAAAAAAAAAATGTAAAAAGAAATTAAATATAATTGAAAAATTTTACATCTTGTTTTTGTTCTTTTCTTTCTATTAATTAATAATTAAAATTTCCAAGTTTTCAAATTTTATAATTTAATAATAATTTTCTTTTTGTTTTTATCTGCTTGTGTAAAGTTATTTATTTTAAAGTTAAATAATATTATCGATCTTTTTTATCCATACTTTGTAAATTTTTGTCCTCTATTTTATCCTTATTATGTAAATTGATCGTGTTGCGTTTTTATATTTGTTTTTTATTTTCTAATATTTTCTACTACATTATGTTTAACTGTCGCGTGTATTTTTTCTTTTTTTTTTTTTTTTGATTTAATTATTCATAATAATAAACTAAATAATAATTATGTATTTATATATATATATATATATATAAAAAGCTAATAATAATGACAATAAAATTTTACATATTATATGCAACATATATGGGATCTAATTGATCAGCCAAAAATCCATCACGTAAATGCATCCGTTGTTTTTCACCACGACTATTTATTGGAACAACACCTGTTCAAAAAAAAAAAATAGTTTAATTTTTACATTGAAATTGTGATTTTCTAAATTAAAAATATTTTTTATGTCTTACCGGGATCTACAACAACAACCACGCCAACAATTAATTGATGTTCTTCAAGTACAGTATTTGTAACAAGTGGTACTAAATCAAGTGCTTCTGACTCATTGCCATCCAATTCAACAACGACGACTAGTAAATTTGTCCATGTAAAAACAGCGCTATTTTAAAAAAGAATATGAAAAAATAATTTTTTTTTTTTATTTTCCTAATGATTAGAAAATTTACCATTCAGCAATTTTTTTATGACATCTTAAAACAGAATTTTCAATGTCAATTGGATGATAATTCATTCCACGTAAAGATATTACTTCATCTAATGCCCCAACAACATACACAGCATCATGTAATTCTTGATCAGAATTTTGTCCTATAATTACTCCGGTACTAAGAATAGCATTATCATTTATAATTCTTCCGCTACCACCGATACCAGTACCGCCACTACCACCAATAGACATTGATGACATATTATGTTGTAATTGATTCATTGAATGTATTGATTCGTTATCACTATCGCGACTTGCAATACTTGGTGTTGTTTCATCTAATATTGAACCAGCCTGTGAACATTCAGTGCGACGTAAGAATCCTAGATAACCCGTTCTCGCGTATACTTCAGTAGTTGAACCCGTTACTAATTTTGCATTAAAGTGATCATTATAATCAGTTTCGTCTCCATATATTGTGAAATAACCATTTGCATTATGTGGTGATTGAACCTAAACACAACAAAAATGTTGATATAGATATAAAAAAAATGCAATACAAAATATTTTATTCAAACTCACCCAAATTTCACCCAAATGTGAATCTCCACAATGACCTTTTGTTTCTGGATTGGCGATAATTACTTTAACGCCCGGTAATAATTTTCCTGATTCTATTAGACATAATGAATTTGGAGCACCGCGTTCAACTAGTGCTACACGATTATTACGCAATGCTCTTAAATCGACATACACTTGAGCACTTTCAGCTGAACTAGCTCCTTGAACGCATATTGCTGGATTAACACGACAACCAAACGATGTTGAAACACATCGTGTATTTAAACCTAATGCTTGGAATAATTTACAAAACTGTTGTGTCAATTGAACTCTAGGTCTCTCTTCGGCAACAACAACACATGTCCGTACACATCTTAAATCAATATTACGTTGTTTAAGAGCTTGTATCGAATTACTTAATGCTTTTGTACATAGTTCAATAACACCATAAGAACAAAAAGTATCTCTAACTCGGTATTGTGATAACGTCGCTAACCATAAACTTGGATTTGCTTCTACTTCATATGGTGCAATTAATATTGAATGATGGCCACTATAAACACTAATTAAAGTCCACATAGCAAAACCCAAACCACAATATGGATCTAAACATAACGCAACATGACGGGAAGGATACAATTCGCAGGCAAGTTTTAAACTAGCGCACAAACTTGATAACGACCTTGAAAAATTTAAAATTATAATTGAAATGATATTCTCCATAGCTATACTTTGATTTTGATTCACAAAAAAGCGGTGAAAAAATGAAATAATGAAACTAACCTATGTGTTATGATAACTCCACTTAAACGACCACATGTTGATACACTAAAGTCTAAATATGCTGTTGAATCTAACGTTGCATTTGCAATTGCTGCTAATTTTCTCTTTGGATTGTCATCTATATCTAATATAGGTGGCCAACTTTTTGGATCAATTGATGCAGCTGCCTCACGTGATTTTAATAGTTTGATAATTGATTGAATTGACAAGACGATACCACTCTTTGAAACATCAACAATCATTCGAACTGTTGGTAGTGTTGTTATTAAATTTTGCGGATGTGGTGGTCGTATTGTAATTGGTACAGCACCTAAATATAAACAGCCATAGAATGCACATATTAAATCTAGTCCCGGTGGGAAGATTAGAGCTGTACAAATGTTATTAAATGGATTAAAAAACAAAAAAAAAGACAATATATTAAAAATATGTTCTGTATATTTAAATTATTACTGCTTACCGACATGATCTCCAGGTTCAACTTTTCCTCTTTCTTGTAGAAGAGCTGCAATTTTTTCTGCTCTTTTATGTAATTCCGAGCAAGTAAGTGTTTTTGCGACAGTACCTGAATATTAATATACATACATATATTAAAAACTTCGTGCACATATACATATATTGTGATTATTAAATGGATATTAAAGCATTTTAAAATACACAAATGTATTTTATTCAGCTTACATTTAGAGACACCTATGTATCTAAATTCGATTTAAATTAAAATAATCGATATTTTATTAGTCTATCAAAAAAAGTGTAGACAAATGATGTTTCGATGCAATCAAAATGTTGACAAATTTTTATTTAATTCAATATTACCTTTTGAGTTCAGTAGTGTATAAAGTACATGATCAGGTGATGTATTAGCACGCCATCTTAAAACTCCAGTAATTAATTGATGCTTAAAATGAGAAAGAAAAAATTTATTCAAAATGTTTTTATAATTTTTCCTTATATTTTGTTTAAAAAATTATAATGCTTGTTTTCTGTAACATTGACAACTCAAATTTGCATACTTGAGAAAATTAAATTTTAAAGTTTTGGAGTTTATAAGTTTTCTGACAAAAGCGTCATTTTATAATTTTTTTGTTTTTCGACAAAGCTAGTGAATTGACGTTTTTGCACAAAAAAATTAATGTTTCAAATGCTTAATTTTGTATCAGTAATTGAGAAATCGTAGCAATTTTGATTTATGTCACTGTCAAACGGGCAATTTAAATAAAAATATCTTATTTCAACTAATTTTTTTTATATAAAATATGAAATTAATATTGATTTCATAAATAACTTACTTTTCTTTCACTATCTTCTGATAGACCGATATCACGACCTTGGGCGACAGCCAAACGATTTCCTTGCACCAAATTTCCAACCATTACTGAAGCTGGTCCAACTGAAGTGTCTGTAATACCACATCCAGATGAGCTACTACTAACTGTAGTTGGTGGTTGCACTCCTAATTTTATTTTTTTTTTTTTGATTTTGTTTTTTTTTTTTGTATTTTGATTCATTTTTTAAAACAGACAAGGGTTGCATAATATTTTTATGTTTTTTTTTAAATTTTCATATCAAAATTTAAATTTTTTTTAATTTTTTTTTTATTAATTTAATTTGAGAAATTTTGTATTTGACAAAAATCGAATCATGAATTATCGAGGGAAGGGGTGGTCGTATTCATTTAAGTGGGCCAGAAGCCAAAAATGTTCAAAATATATTGGTCATAAATATTTTTTAATAATTAAAAAAATAAATTTTGGACGAATGCAACCGTTATTTTTATAATTTTGTATATATATATATATTTATATGTTCAGATATGTACATATACATACATAATATGTGCATGTATGCGTACATATATAAATTATGGTTTGAATTGTATAAAATTAATTATAATTTAAATAATCGTTTTTTTTTTATTTTAATAAAATTGTAACATGTTTTTTGGTTATTTGTTATTTTGTGAATTTTTTTTTAATAAAAATGTGAAATATGAGGAGAAAATAAATTTTAAACATAGTAAAAGTTATTAAAACAAAAATTAATAATAAGAAATCGAATCCAAAAGCCAAAAATTAAAAAAATAATAATTATAAATATATTTGTAAATATTTATAATATTAAAATATTACATTTATATATTTATTAATATCATTATTAATGTTAGTAAAAATATAAATATGGATGGTAGAATGAAATTGATTATTTTTATTAATAAATTTTACAGAAAAAAAATGAACATTTTTACAAACAAAATGAAAAATGATTTCGTTTTGATGTACATATGTTTTGTATATTACAATAATTAAAAATTATTTTAAAAATATTAAATATTGATTAAAAAATTATATATAATTGGATATAAATAATGTGTTTTTTTAAAAAGAAATTAAAAATATTTATTTCGTGTGTTAACGTGAGAAGGGAGGGGGGGAGGCAATTTTGTGTTATTTTTATACAATTGGTATATAGTAAAAAAAAATAAAAGTAAGATTGAAATTTTATCATTTTTTTTTTGTTTTTTTTTAGTAAATTTCAGTGCAAAATCACATTTATTATTTTTTCAATTTGTTTTTCAATTAATTAATTTTTTATTTTTAAAATTAATAAAATTAATTTGGTCCCAAGCAATTTTTATAGTGAAAATCCGTAAAGTGTTTGTTTTGCCATTATAATTTATAAATAATTGCATTCACATATTACATTTTATTTTTTTAATATTGTTATTTTGTGTTTGATATTTTTGTCAATTGTTATTTTTAATTTAAATATTAAAATAAAGCATTTTTTGTATTTTAAATTTTAAATCAGTGTGTGTGTGTTTAGTGAGATTATTTTTGATTTTTTAATTTGTTTTTAATGTACAATATAATAAAAAACATATGTAATGTTATTTTTTTTTTTATTTACATTTGTTATTTTTGTTTTTAATAATTTAATATGAAATTTTTAGAATTTTTAGTTCATTATTTTATTTTTAATGTTTTTGTTTTTTAATATTTTTTTTTGGCACGAAGTATATAAGAGCAGCATACGAATGAATGAAAAAAAAGAAGAAAAAATATAAACTTAGAAATAAAATAGTATACAAAATAATTTGTTTCTTTTTTTTTAATTTAATTTATAGTATGTATTTAGTTCTGTTTTTTTTTTCTAAATTAATAATAATTTTTTTAAAATTTTGATTTAAAATTAATGATGTATATATATATATATGTATTTGAACTTAATTAAGTTTTCAATTAGCATTTTTAATATCAATAATTAAAAATAAAAAAAAGGTGGATGAGCAATTTAAATAACAGAAAAAAATAAAATTAAGAATGTTAATTGAAGACCTAGTTTTGACGAAAAATAATTCGCCATTTCATAGACATATATATATACATTTATAGATATATATATATAAACTAGAATGCGACAGTTAAAACTATCTCTAATTATTTTTTTTTTCAAATATTCTTTGAAATTTATTTTAAATGGTTTCCAATAATTAAAATCTAACTGATGGTCAATGGCAAGAAGTTCAATTTTTAGTCTCTTCATACAATATGTGGTTTAATAAAAACAATATTTATTTTTATATTTGTACATACTAGAAATTTTTAATAATTACAAAATCTGGAAATCATTTATTGTATATACAAAAATTTAATTTGTTAATTCTTGAATTATGTTTTTTATTTCATGAAAGAAAATTTTTATTGAATTTTATGAATTAATTTCAGAATATATAAAATATCTGTTTAGTGTGTTTGTCAAGCAATTGAATTAAAATATGAAATTACAATTGGAATGAATTATTGACATTCTATCCTTTTTACTTGACACTTAATTTCATTATTATTATAAGATTTAATTCATTATTTTGTTTGAATGATAATTTTATTATTATTTAAAATGATGAAAGATGTGAAAGTACATGTATAAAACAGTTGTAGCAGATAAAATGTTTCTTTGACCAATGACCGAAAATGAACAACATTAACCAAAAATAAAATTAAAATATTTATGTAGTTAAAAAAAAAATTACCAATTTCTTTTTTTAATTAATTTTGGTTACAAAAATAAAAATAAAAACAAAAAGTGAGTTAAGAAATCAATACAACTTGTGTTGGTTGAATTTAGAAAATTATTCACATATAAAAGAAATTAACATGCAATTAAAAATATTATGGGTAAAATGAAAAAGCAAAAATTTAAAATAAATCTTTTTGAAAAAGTAAATAAATGCAATAATAGCCAATTATTTTGATTTGTGTGCTACTCTATTTAATATTTAATTGATTTATTATAATAATATTTTAATATATCATAATTTTTCTTTGCAATTAAGTAACTTTTTTTTTGGTTTTTATTTAAAAAATTGCAAAATATATTATTTGCATTTTTGGAAATCAACCTTGAAATTTAAAACGCTTTTAATGTATGAATTTTGTAGTTTGTTTTTATTGTTTTATAAAAAATAAATAAATTTTTAGTGAAATTTTTTTTTTCTTCCAATATGAAATTTTAATAACTTGTTTATAAGAAAAATTAATTTTTAATAAATTCAATTTTAAAACGATAAATTTATAAATTTTCAAATATTAATTTTGATATTTTTGTTTGACCAGAAATTGAAAAATAAAAATACATGAACAAAATTCACACAATTCTAATTAAATCCAAAAATTAAATTATTATTATTAATTTTTATTTAATGAATAGCGCCTTTTTAGTGAGCTTAGCTTTCCGGCTATACTGCGAAAAATTTCCTATAAATTTTCTACATCTTAAATTCTTGTAATTTTGGTATTATAACACTATAGAGTTGTTAATATCTACAAGTATTTATTTGAAGCTGTTTTGCATTTGCTATTTTATTAACGCATTATTAACAGTATTAGTAAACAACTTTAATTTACAAGTAACAAAATAATCAACAAAAAACGTTTAAATAAATAAGTTGTTTAAAAAAAAAAAAAAAAATAACAAAAAAAAAATATTTTGTGCAAAAATTAAATTGAGTAATTGTTTCTAAGCTAAATTGTTAATAGCAACGTTTTTCCCATATATCTTACCTTGATGAATTTCCCTTGGTTTAGGTAAATTAGTAACACATGTGTGGGGACACATTAATACATTAGCCGGATGTAGAGAACCTTCTAAAAAGCGTCTTCTAGCTTCACATAAATGTATTCCACCTAGTGGAGTTTTTGGCAAATGATTTGGCGGGACTAAAGCTAAACAATAAATGCCAACTTGATGAATTGAATCGACAGCTTGTAAAACTCTTGACATCCACTGAAAACTTTCTTCCTCTGAACAATCTGGTCTTTGTTCCGCAATAACACAGACTCTTTCATCCCGAAGTACTTTAATACTAAATACAGCAATACGTCCTCTATAAATAAAACGCATTGGCTCAACAGCTAAAACAGTTGCTATAATATCATCAGCATTATGTTTACGACCAGTCACTGTCATTAGACCATCACGTGATCCACAAACAAATACTAAACCGCCGGGACCTAAAAATCCTAATAGCCCTGAACGGACATAATATTCATCGCCCAATGTTTTTCCGGTATTAGCTGGATCTTTCGTATCTGGGTCTTCTAACAAAGGCTGAATTTTAAAAGTTGAATTGGTTAAACCTTCAAGTCCGAAATAAGAGGTGCCAGTTGCACCACTAGTTACACATATTTCACCCACCTAAAAAATTTTATATATATATTTTTTTACTTTTTAACCTTTTTGCATATTGTATACTTGATCCGTCTTGCATAATACTGGAGGCCCATCTGATCGTACAACAACCATTTGAGCAGCTGGCATTACTTGTCCACAGTCTTGTAAAGTTAATGATGTTAATGAATCTTCGCTATCCACGCGTACCACACCATGTGAAAGAGCTGCCATTGAAAGTACCCCCCGTCCAGTTGCTGATTGCACAAATCCACCAGAAGCACGTCCAGGTCGGCGTAATGATACTGTAAAAACTTCACAACTACTAGCGCATGGACATATTGCATCGGCCCGCAATCCTTTAGTTTGAAATACGCTTAAAAATTGATCGCATGATGAAAGTGACCACGGATTAGCACCATCTGCTACTAATAACATTCTTAATGAAGATAATGAAATATCCTTATGATCTTTTGTTGCAAGCAAGCCCCAATGTAAATCACGGCTTTTGACTAAACAGCAAGAAGCTCTATATTTCGTGATTAGTTGCATCCACGATGATGGACGTAATTTCATCAACGCATAAGGTATAAACACAACATGCATGCCATTCAAAACTGACGTTAATATAGCATGCCATAATCCAACCTCGCGTTTGAAATCCAACACGCAAACAATGGTTTCACCTTCAGTATAATGGCATGCCATTGTTAAAGCACGGCAATGATTCATCATTGCCTGACGTGTTACGGTAACACCCATTACACTTCCCTCTTTATCAGTGGCATATTCGATATAAGCTAAAGAACTTTCTTCAATTCGAACATTTCCTACATTGAAATCTTTAGGTGGTTTTGGTAAATGTTCAGTGACAAACCAGTGCAATCGCGGCCAACCTTTTAATTTGGCTATTTCTCCGGTTGATGATTTGGGTAAACCTTTTAGGCACGCTTCAGATGTTAAGGCTACACTAATTCCGCAAGAACTTAATAAAAATCCAATTTGTTGTGGCGGTGTATCTGAGCTAGATAACGGTAGTTCAATTGGAAGAGGGACAAGCCCTCTAAACATGCAACCATACCAGGCAGTCAAGAAACTACAATATGTGTGATATATATATTTAAATTTCTAAAAAATTGAAAATTTCTTACTTTAAAGGATCACTATTTGGATAAACTAATGCTACTCGATCACCAGGTTTTAAAGTAATTTGTTCTGGACCTTTGCTAAAAACTTTTGTCGTCAGAGCATAGGCAATTTTTTGTGCCCTTGATAATAATTTTCCGTATGTTAGCATTGTTGTCAATTTACCATTTGGATCAAGAACTGTAGCTACAGGTGATTTGAATGAATTCGTACCAAATCTTTGTAATGCTGTTTCTAAATTTCTTGGTAAACCGGCAGCTACTGTTAATTGTTCACCTTGTACTCGAGACATTGTATTACCTTCAGGTTTTGGTGCATTCGGATCTTTTGGATTTGCTGCAATTTCTAATTCAATATCATTATCTTCATAAAATTCTGGCAGTGGTCTACGTTTAGGTCGTTTTAATGTATTCAAAAGTTGTTGAATTTTTGCTGAAACTTTCCATCGTCCTGCAGTACCTGTATCACCAGGTTCTTGACCAGATATATTTACATAACGTGTTACACGATCTGCACCCCTTCTTGTATTATTAAATTGTGTTATATCTGGTGCAACATCTAAAAAGATAACAAACAAAAAATTCAAATGAATAAGAAAAAATAATAAAGAAAAAGCTAAATTAAAAAAAAATTATTTTACATGGTCTTTGGAATTCAGATATATCGGTAAATTCATAATTATTTTTCCTATGTACAGCTGGTGGTGATCCTGCACTTGATGTATCGGAATGAGGCTAAAATTAAGTATGAAAGAATGTAATTAACAAAAGTTATCAAAATTGTAAATCGATTTTTTACTGGAGGAGGTAAATTTTGAGGAGGCCTCCGATCTGAAAAATTTTTATGATGTTGCCCACCAATATTACCGCCACCACCACCTCCTCCACCAACAGATGAATCACGTATTGGCGGTTTAATTTGTTCTCTTGAATTTGATATATGATCACGCGGATAATTGTATTCACGATCAGGTGTTGATATTCGTTCTTCAGGTATTGATTCGTCATCTGTAGTTGAATCTTCATTTAAAAGCAAATAAGAGAACCAAAAAAAAAAAAACAAAATTTATATTAATAATTTTAATGTTAAAAATATTTTTTTTCACACTACTACGTCACAATTGCCTTAAAATTTTATTGAATTTGTTTGCATATCTTAAGGCGAATGCAATGTAGAATGTGTACAATTAAATTTAATTTTCTTTTCTTTTTTTGTATTTTTTTTATGAAATATATTTTGTTAGATGTTAAAGATTAATTGCTAAAAAGAATATAAACAAGACGTTCATTAAAACTTTGAACAATACTATAGAAATAAACATTTACAATAAAACTTGCACTAAATTTGTTTAGAAAAAGGGGGGGGTGGGGGTTGGTACGGTGAGTTGATCGTGTTTTGATTTTTTATTGTTTCTTTTTTTTTAAATATTTTTTTAAATGATTGTTGATCTGCGAGACAATTACAAAATGAAATATCGAATTAGAGTTTGATGTAAGAGAAAAGTTTAAATTTGCTTGATAGCTAAGAAAATTTTTATTTGTAAGCTTTGCGCATTTTTTTTTTAAATCAAATAACAAAAAAAAAAAAAAACAAGAACGAAAACGAAAACAAATCAAAAAAGAAATATTTGAATTTTCTTTAGTTTTCATTTTAAAGCGATGCTTGAATAAATTTTTTATAAGAAAATTTTTTAATTTAAAAAAAAACTCAATTTAATTAATAGTAGTGAATGGGTTAAAGAAAACTAAAATATTATGTATTAAAATTTTTCAGCAAAACAAACTATATATATAGAATAATAATAAATAATGGTATTAACAGATTTTTATGATTAAGAAATTATTATGAAATATTTTAAATTGCTGAATTGTGAAATGATGATCGAGTGAGATTAAATTTAATTAAATTTAGTGATTTTTCAAATACTAATACTTATTTATAAAAATGTTATTGATGGACTCATGTACATACGTTTCTTAATTTATTTATTTAGAAAAAAAAAAACAGAAAACAATAGATTTCACATGTAAAATAGATGACTTTATTTTGTTGTATTTTATCTTAGTCGTATATGCTTCTGGTTTCACTTCTATGTAAATTATACTTGGTAGTTCTGTGGCCATAAACGCAAACCGCTTAATTTGACAAAGCCAACAATGAGTTATATCATTAAATTCTACATACTGCGTTCTACATTCTCACAAAATTTGATTATTCCACGATTATTGTAATCAATGTGCACTGTTATCTCATCTTTGCCAAATTCACAAATCGCTGAAGCCGATTCGGTAGCTATGTGCCAAATAATTTCAAACATTTTTTTAGAATTCAATTTAAAGTTTATGTATTTGTTCAAACGCATGACATTTGCATAACTTGTCAAATACATTTATTTTGAAATGTCCGAAATAGAGTTAAATCACTCGTGCTTGTTGCTACAGATATGTACGTATGTCAAAAAGAAATTCCCTTTGACTTCCATATAAAAAAAATCTAAAATGATTTTATAAAACTAAAAAATTTTTTAGATTTCTAATTTATTATTTAAATTTTAATTTCAATTAAATAAACTTAAATAAAGTTAAAAATTTAATTAGTTTTTAATATGTTCAATTAAATTTTTAATGAATTCAATTCAAATACTGTAATTAATTGCTGAAATAAATTAGAAATCTGGAGAGAAATGATAAGTTTGATTTTAAAAATATAAAATTATTTAACTTGCTCTTTGGTTTTGTTGTTACACATTCAGCAATTTAAAATTATTACGTCAAATATATAAAAAAAGCATGATATTTTAATTTAGGACTCTTATAAAAATTAACAGTTTTTATTTATTTTATCCTTTAATTTAAATATATTTTAATATTTTTCATTACCTACCTATTATTTTAATATTATTAGATTTATATTTTATTTTTTTGCGTTTATTTTGTTTATCTTCCGAAGAAAAAATTTTTTTCTTTACAGTTACAATTTATACCATTTGCTGTCATTTAAATACAAATATATGCAAAGAGGGCACTAACCACCATTTTGTTGCAAATACAAGAATTTTATTTAATGTCAAATTTTCACATTTTTTGCTGTCGTATTCAAAAATAAAAATGGCTAACAAGAGTATACGTCAAACTGTACGTATTAAGTTTTTAAAAATATTATATATGTAGGTGTAAAACATGATCAAATTGTTATAAGTTTTTGTTAACATTAGTTTGTACTTTCACATAATAAATACGAGTATTTATAATCTAGAATCTAGTTAAGTATATTGATGATTTTAAATTATTTTTTATTATTGTATAATACAATTTTCTATTTCATTTTAAGTTATTTACAACTCTTAAATTTATAAAATTCAATATTGTTTCAAATATAAAATTTCCTTAGCTTTTGTTTTTCTAAATTTTTAACAAAAGTACAAAAAAGGTATTCTTTGCATATGTCATTGAAATTTATTGTCAAATTTTGGATGAAATCAAAATAAATATTTAGTTTACTAACGCAATTCATTTCACTAATGCTACAAGAATTACTAATTTGAAGAGGCGAATAAACCCGTTTTAAGTTTTCGCTGTTGATGTAAAAGAAAAAAAACCATTACAACAACTTTTAAGTCCGACTAAGCAGATATAAAACCTCTTTTCTTATCATTATTTTTTTTCTCATTTGTTTTTCTATTTGGAAATCTCACCTGTATCGTCGCGATCACGATCTGGACTTCGATTCAATACAGAACTACGTTTTGATGGCATCGGTAAACTTGGTTTTGGTCGATTTTTTAATGCTGCCAAAGCCTGTTGAACAGCTTCCTGTCGTACTTCTATTTTTTTTTTAATTTTATCATTTTAATTGTCATATTTGTATTTGTGTAGTTATCATTCGTTTGTTTTATATCATATGTAATAAATTGGGTTATACATGATGTGTTGCCGTACATTAATGAGAATATAATTTACAGAATTTTTTATATAAAATCATATTAAATTAAATATGCGTTGACAGTTGACAGAGGAATGATGATGATTGGTGATTGATACACAAAATGAACAAAAAACACACATTTTTGAATGTTTTTGAGCACATTTAATTTTTTTGATTGTTTGTTTGTGATTGTGATTTTTGCAAAAAAATTTATGATAAATGATGACGTAAATTTTTGACGTTTTGATATTTATTGTTTTTTAAAGAAAAAAGAGAGAGAAAAAATAAAAGGTAAAATCAATGAATTTTTTTTTTATTTGACATTGCGAATTTTTGAATAGAATCACGGTCAATGCAGACAACTTATAATAATATTTAAGAGCTCAGATAGATAAGCAATTTTTAGTTTCGCAACTGTTTGATTGCTTGTTTGTATTCCATAGGTTTATATTCAAACGCGTACACATCCAACTGCATGGTCGCACGCAATTAAGCTATCAAACAGTTTGTAAATTTTTATAAAGAAATTACAATTTTTAATTGCATTGGCGCAGTAGTTTAGTTGCTTAGATCTACGCGCAACGATTTTAAAATTAAACAGTAATTGCAAGACTAAAAATTGCAAGCTCTAAGAGTACTGAAACTAATTTATAATTTTAAAATATAAATTTACAATCAAATTCAATCATTAAATTATAAATTTGTAATTTTATTCAATACTATTTGGAATTTTTCAGTTAAATATTATTCTTTTAGATGTTGCCTGAATACTGTGATGATGATTAAAACTAATTAAACGATATTATTTTTATATGTATATATACAAATCTACAACATTTAGCTGGACAAAGAAAGTACATAAGTATGACATACATGTTGTGTATTATATTACTACATAGGCGTAATACATAAAATCAAAGTATTGTATATTGAAATTTATAAGTACAAACCTAAATATGAAATTCAACTAAATTAGTGTTAAATAATCAATTCAATAATAAAATTACTGTAATATTTATTTATGAATAAATTTAAATAGAATGATTTTTTAAATGAAAATATTTGATGGAATGATACAAGCAAATAAAAATTTTCGAGCAAAATATTACAAGTTAAAATATTTGAATAGCATGCAAAAATATTAAGAGCTTATAATAGAAACCAATAAAAATTTATGCAATAAAAGTTTCGTATATACAAAGAAAGCCAAAAATTAAATACCTGTAATAATTTTTTAAACAGTTAAAAAAGCCACTTATAAACGTAATAATGTTAAAATTTTAATATTATATAATTATTAAAACAATAAAATTTTTATGAGAAAATGTTAGTGTCATAGAATATTGGAGAAAAAATGCTACTATATAAATTAAACTTAAAGTTATTCAGGCAACTAATGACGTACGTTACTTACTGTTTACATATATACGACAAAATATACGACTTAATCTGAGTCTGATGAAAGTTATATATGTAAAATCTGTTTGATATCAAATTTTGTCTGACGGAAAAAAGTAGAAATTATTCTATTTTCATCAGATTTTCTGTTAGATTTTTTAAATGTAAAATGGGAGCAATTAATTTTTTGCAGAAGTTTGGAGCCGTCAGACAATTTCAATCTGATTTTTAAACAGTCGTCAAAAGTTAAATACCATTTTATCTCAAATTTTGTCGTATATGAAAATAGTAATTTAACGTCAAAAAAAACAGATGTAATTTAGAATTTATTGTTGGTGTTTTAGATTGTAGAAAAATGTATGTATGTATATTTTTTTAATTAAAATTAATTTATTTGAATAAATAATAAAAAAAATTATATCAAAATAGTGTACAATAAATTGGTAATAAATTACAAAGCAAAAGCGTAACGTTTCTTTCGTTATGGTTACTAAGAAAATGCAAAATCAAATTATTATTTTAAAATTTTGTAAGCTAATATAAGCGAATTGGAGTGAATATTTGAATATTAATATACTAATAATATTAATTCGATTATAAAATTAAATATTTTTAGTCAACTAATTTTTTTTGTTTTAATCTTAAATTGATTTCTTTTAACTTATTTATTTTTCATATTGTTTTTGATTAATTTCAAATAAATAACTTACTGATTAGCACAATATCAAATTCGTACAAAACCCCAAAAAACGAAAAAAGAAATTAAAGAAATGAAAAAAATTAAAAGAGGGCGCCCACCAAAATGCAGATTTAACGTCAATCTGACCTTAGTAATTGCATTGTTGAAATAATTTCAGTAATTGTGAAAATTATATTGCTGATTAAATTAAATTGAGGTTAGATCTACATTTTGACAGATGCCCAAAGATCGGAGTATGAAAAAATAAAAAATATTTTTAAAATAAAATAATGAAAACCCGATTTAAAACAACAACTTTAATAATAGGAAAAGATCACTGATGATGATTTTTAAAGGCTTTTGTATTAGTATAGCTTAAAAATGGAGACAAGCAACTTTAAATTATGTTAATCTACTTCTTTTTTTATTGTTAAAATGCGTGAATCCCAACGTGATATCTAAGAGAGGAGTATGATTGTAAATTTGTATATTTTATATGAGCACATTTTAATTTAAAACGACATAAATTTTTGTTTCTAAAGCATTATTGTTGTTGTAATATTTGTAATTATTAATTTTTTGAGAAATGCTGCCCATAATGTGACGTTTAATTTGAATAATGATGTAAAATACATTTTTTGACAAGCAAAACGTGTTAATATTCATGGTTTTTTAATTTTATAACAACATATATAAAAACAAGTAAAATCTTAAATATTTTGCAAACAAAAAAACAAAAAAAAAAGAAATCCTTTAATTCGTTTTTTTTCCTTTTTTGTTTTTGCAAAAATTTACCACTTGTATATCGGCTTTCATGCCTTCCTAAACGTCTATTTGATCTATGTGCATTACTTGATTGTTGTTGTTGGGATTTTGATTGTTGTTGTTGTTCTTGTTGATCTTGTTGTTGTTGTTGCTGTTGTTGTTTTTGCTGTACTTGCGATTGTGCATTACTTGTGCAATTAACATTATTATTTGTATTACTATTATTCATACTATTATTATTGTTATTATTACTACTATTGTTATGGCTATTGCTGCCCTTAGAAATATTATTAGCATTTGATTTTAAATAACTACTATTTGATAATATATCGCTGTTACCACCATTACCACCACTTATATGTGAATTAATACCACCATGTTCAATAATACCAGGATTTGATGTATTATTTTGATTAAATGATTTACCAATATTATTACCACTTATACCACCAACAGCAATACCAGCTGCATCTTTATTATTTTGTGCTGAATTCAATAATAATTTATTATTATTATTATAATTACTATTAGATGATTTATTATTCTTACTAATATTATTACTAGCCATTGATTTAACAGCAGCCAATATAGCACTTGGTGCTAATAAATTTGTACTTGATGGTATTTGTTCAACATTAATATTTTGTTGTACATTATGATAATGATGTAATTGTTGCTGCTGATGATGATGATGATGCTGTTGTTGCTGTTGCTGTGATATAGATGAAGATGATGATGGAGATATAACAGGTTGATTAATATAACTTCGATGTTGTTGTTGTTGTTGTAATGGCACTTTTACTGGGCTAGATTGTTTTAAATTATTGGAATTTGGTCGAAATTGTGATTGTTGCTGCTGATGATGCTTTTCTATTTGATTGGAATGATGAAATCTTGGTGACATCAATGGTGATTGTGTTTTATTTGATATATTTTGTATTGGTTCTGGAAACGCAGACGATTTATATGGTTTACAGCCTTTAAAATTTGATGAAATAGAAGCTATTTCAGCATTTATTGCTGCTAACTGACTAAATAATTCTACATTTTCACTATTTCGTTCTGATTCAACTCCGACTAAGTGCATCATATTTTAATTTCGTTTGAAATTGAAAGAAATATTTTACACAAAAGAAATTTACATGCGTAGTGTTTATAAAAATACCAGTAAGTTGTCATTGTTGACATATTTACAAAAATATATGTTTTTTGCAGCAAATGTTTATTTTAAACATTGTGATTTTGTAGTGATTCAAGGCGATTTTTCATTCAAAATGGTTGTTGTTGTTTTTTGTTTATTTTTATCAAATTCACAATATCAATAAGAATGAAATAAAATTTTAATTGAAAAAGTTTTATAAAATGAAAAGAAAAAAAAGAAAAGAAATAAAAAATAACAATAATTTCCAAGAAATATTTTGAATAAAAAATATCAGAAGTAAGGGGAAAATTTCCTACTAATTAAATTCTGTTTTCTTTTTAATAACAAAAATGGTATTAATTTTTTTGTTTGATTAGTTAGTTGTTTATCAGTTTGTTTATTGTTAAAAATGTGTATTTATTATTAGAAATGTTTTTGTTATATTAGAGAAAAAACCCACTACATTTATGGCTTAAAGAATGTGAAAATACTTACATAAGATACTTACGATTTTCACTGGCTTATCTTTTGATATGACAGAAATAAGGGAACTAAAAATTGCATACTTTCAAGTCTCGAAATATTTATTTAACGAAAGACCCTTAGCCTTTAGGCTCGATTTGTTTTTTTTTTCTTCAAATTTTTTTACAATATAATTTTAACATTTTTGACTTTTCTAATTGTAACTGTAACATTTTTCTAAACATACTTTGCCATACACACAAATTTATATCAAACATAAAAATTCTGTGTCTATTTAAATTTAAAAATTATTTTTATTGCAGAGTAATAACATTTTTAAAACTTCATTTCATAAATTAATTAATTTACCTATTCCGATTAAGTCAGATGTTTTTCGTACATATACGCCGGTATTCATATACATACATTCATATAATTTACATATGTATGCATACTTAAAGTCCAAGGTAAAATTTTGACAATTATTGCTCATATAAATTTCATTTTTATGATTAATTTACCAAAAAGTCTAGCAAATCTGTTATTATTTTTGTTTCGAAATGCAGATAAGGAAAATAAATCACAATATTTTTTTAGTTTACTATTAATAATTAACAAGAAACTGCTGTAATTTTAAATTTATTTTTTTTAATTATATTTAAAAATTCTGGCCTCATAATTCCAAATTGATTATATTTTTATTATAATCATTATTATTATTGTTATTATTATAATTTTTATCTATAATCAAATGAAGAATTAAAATTAAATGAGCATTTAAAGACGGTTGGTCGTATCATATTTTAATTCTTTAAATACGTATGTATGTGCATACAATGTATTTATACAACATATGTCTTTATAAAAAAATACTAAAAATCTTTGACCTTTATGTTATTTCAAACAAGTGAGATAATTGGTAATAAAAAAGAATTCAACTGAGAAAATAATGGTTGTTGTTAGTTGAAAAAAAAGAATACACAAATATTTTTATGTTTCTATATTATGTGTGTTTGTATGATTCCTTTTTTTTCGATTTCTCTCAGTATTTCTTTATTTCTTTTTTGTTGAGAACTCTTATATAGATTAACGGCATTTACGAATGAATATTAATGATGAAGTCATTTTGAAATTACGTTTATAACACTATCACTTGTTATGAATAATGTTATGAAAATGCTTTTGTTTCATATTAATATTTTAATTTTAAATAAAAACTGTGTAAGATGCTTTTTAATTGCAAAATATTTGATGTTGACAGTTGAATCACAAATTTTGTGAGTTTCACGTTTTCTGAGAACAAATAATAATTTATCAAAAATTTACATTAATTTTACAATTGCAAATTTACATTAAATTTATTAACATTTGCATTAATTTTATGTTACAATGCACAAGTTAATTATTCAAGGCGTAATTAATATTTAAAAGAACCATGAATGTTTATAAAATTATCCGCCATTTGTCAAATCACTTTTTCTTTCATCGTCGATGACAAATTCAAATAATTAGCAATTAATGACGATTAAAATCAATGTATTCAATTTAAAAAAGACAAACTTAGACAGTACATTTGAGTACGTACTGTTTTCCAATAGTAGAATAGTATAGAGGCTTCAATTATGTTGAAAAGCAATAAATTAAAATTCATTGAAAATTATGCTCTCAAATTTTGCATTCCTGCCTGTGCGTAGAGAACAACTTACTTTCATTAATGTCACAAATCACGACAACGAAGTAAAAAAAAGTAAAGAAAAAGAAATAAAAAAAATATCGTTTAAAGAATAAAAGAAATTCTTATGTTCGAGTATGTAGTACTTTTAAATGAAATGAATAAAAAAACAAAAAAAAAAACAATGAAAAATACAAATACATGTATGCAATTTAAACACATTCAATTCAATCTTTCTTTTTCCATAATAATTTTAAATAATAATGTTATAAATAGACAAGCCTGCAGGTTACATACAGTCAGTCTAATTTTGAAATTAACATTGAATAGTCCTCGGGATCGTTAAAATTTACAATATTAAATTACACAAATAATAGCAGCATATGCATGTATAGATGTATACATACACATAAATATATAATGTGCTATTCGGGATTGTATTGCAAAATTTTTTGAAACGGAAATCACATACTTTACATGACATTTTTTTTTGTTTTTAGCATCAATTTAATTTAAATAAATTACCGGATTTCTTTATCTTTTAACACAACTTGACTCTACTTGCATACATATTTTTGTAAGAAATTATGTATATAAAATATAAATTTCTTATTTTATTACTAAAATTTTCAATTATTTCAACGACACCATTGAAATCATCATCACCGGATAAAGATGATGATAATGCAATAATAACATCTACAATACAATCATTACAACCACAACAGATGACGGAAGAATATGATACAAGTGATACCAGTAATAAAAGTAATAATCAACAATTTAATAATGATCCCATAAATATTGAAAAGAATCAAAAGCTATTCAAAGATTACATAGATGAAATAAAATCACATTTAAATCCAAATTTAAAGCCATGTGATAATTTTATTAAATATGCATGTGGTAATTTTGATGGTATATCATTAAATGATAAAAAAATTTCAACAGATAAATTTTATATTGAAGATTTTATTTTATTAAATAAAATATCAAAAGATAATCGTTTTGAAGTGATGGCAAGTAATTTTTATTTATCATGTAAGAATAATCGAAAATTAAAACAAGTTTTTGAAGAAATTGATAGCCTTAAAACAATTGGTAAATGGCCAATTATGGAAGATGATTTGAAATATAATATAAGTGATAAAGATATTGCAAAATTATGGGGCGAATTAGCAATATTAAAAGCTGTTGATTTACTTGAAATGACAATGACAACTGTTTCCGATCAAATATATTTTTCATCAAAATTAAACGAAGACAATTTTACTGAAATACAAGAAACAATGAATGAATTAAATAAAAATGGTAATAGTAACAATAATCAAGATGAAAATATTCAATTAGCAATTGAAGAAATACAAAATTTTACAATATTAATATCAGATAATTTATTACAATTGCCACCAAATTCAGATGAATCAGTTACAATTGATCGTGTATCATCATTGAATGAAACAATTACAAATTTCGATTGGACTGAATATTTTCAAACATTTTCAAAATTAATGAATTTAAATATTAATTATTTTGATAATAAATCAGTTGAATTACGTAATCCAAATGCAATGCAAAAAATTATTGATTTAATTAAACAAACTGAATCACGTATCGTATTAAATTATTTAATATGGAAATATATAAAATTTGCAAAAAATATGAAATGTGAAGAATTCCAACCATTTTGGAGACCAGTAATTTTAACAAAATTATGGAAAGAATATTATACACAAATTGATAAAGATAATTTATTAAAAATTTATAATCAATTCGAAAAATCATTTAACGATGTTAAACATCAATTAAATGAACCATCACAAGCGATACTAAATCATGTAATTTATCCAAGTAAAAATTTATTAGAGAATTTTGATAAAATTTTATCGTATGATTCATTAAATAATTATTATAGTCAATTTAAAATTGAGATAAATAAATTTTATAAAAATGCAATATCTTATATGTTTATAATTGGTGAAGATTTTATAAAGAATGGTCAAAATGGTGCATTATTTAAAATGTATTTAACAATGTTATTTAGTGGTGATATTGATTTGAGACAACATAATAAACCATTATTATATTATTTTGTTACAAAAAATATTGAATTTTGGAAAAATGATTTTATACAGCATACACTGCCAAGTAATTTTACTGGAACTGAAAATTGTTTACCATATCCGACCGAACCACAAGAATCGAATCAATTAAATTTAAAATTTTTAAAATATTATGCAGCTGATATGCAAGGTTTCAATGATTACATTTTGTGGTTAAATGATACTTCTAATGTTGGTGGTTTAGCTGCTGGAACTGATATTATACAAATGCAATCGATTGAATTGGACAAATATAATTTAAATCATGAAAAAATTTATTGGTTAGCTTTAGTTCAAGAACAATGTTTAAAAAATATTAATTTAACAATAAGTAATGATGACGTTATGTCAACAGTTATAAAACATTCTAAGCAGCTTTCTGATGCATTCGAATGTCATGAAAATATTAAAGAGGAAACATGTAACTATCATTTATTTAGTACGCTATTTTAAATTTAAGAGAGAAAAATGACGCCTTATTTGATTTAATTTTTTTTTATCAATATTATTCAAATTATTGTGTTTATTTTAAAACATTTTTTTTAATTTGTAAGAAAAATAGTAATTTATTTGTATCTTATGATTTAAAAGTGAATATAAATTAGGAAATATTTTAAAATAAAATTAAATTGATTATTTGAATGACATGCGTTTCAATTGAACATGCGTACATGAGAATAACATAAATGTGACATTATTTGTGTCAATAATTTGATATTAGTACTCCAGAAAAGCGGTATCTGAAATGATAAATGGTACTGAGATATCTTTTATTATAAAAATTTCCAAATTTGTTAAAGCTCTCAAAAAAATTTTCTCTCTTTTATATTAAATACGCACTTCCAATAACAGAGTAGTGACTAGTGAGTCATTTAATATGTCAGTATGTCAATTTTATAATGGGTGTAATGACATTTTTAGCCAACTTATTTGACCTTTACTAGATTTAGTTTCAAATTTTGATTTTTTTTAAAATTTGTTTTCTTTTTCGTGAATAATTTGATAACAATATTTTTTTATACTGTTTAAATGCCATTAAAATATAGCAAATTAAAGCTTATCAACTTATTCATTTAAATAACATTAAAAAAAAAATTTAATTTAAGTGTAAACAGACAGAAATTTTATAGTCTAAATTTTTTTTTTAAAACAAAATAAACAACACAATACTGAAAAATATAGAAAAGGAAAAATGGATTTTAATTGTTAAATACGCGAGAATTCAGAAAGAAAAATATTTTTAAATCTAATAATCTTGATATTTTTTATTTGCTTTAAAGATAATTTATATGGAAAAAAAACTTATTTCAATCAAATTGACACATTTATGGGCATGTAAGAGTGTAAAAAAATGTTTTACAACAAAAAAAATTTTAAGGGTCTTTAAAATTGCAGTAAATTATTTTTAAATAATATTTTCATGCAAAAGACTTAAAATTTTTGAAATTATGAAACAAATTGCGAATAAGTTCTCTAGGTTTTTGACTGTTATGCTCCTTAGTCTTATGCAAATAGATAAATAAGTGGTTCCTACCTATACACACATTGGAGAAACAGTATCTATAATTACGTATTTTCTAATAGGTTATGTGATATTAATTAACATTCATGTTTTCTTGTACAGGGTGTTTCGCATCTAAGTACACTGCTATATACCATTTACACATTGAAAAAATTAATTTTAACTTTTCATTTTTAAAAAATGTTAATTTTTTAGGTGACGTAACATTGCAGCTTTTTATATAATGTTTCTCCAACTAAAAAGCCTCTGCAAGAATTTTTCACAAAAGGAGTGGAAAAGGGTGTAGTTAAAATAATTTGAAAATGGAAATACTTCCTAGAAAGTATAGGTCCAGAAACTGTTATCTAATTTAAGAATAAAGAAAATAAAAGAAATCTGCATGCAATTTTAATTTGATTCTGAATGATTTTTGAGCTGATTTTCAATTTATACTTTTTGACATGCTGATTTTTGCGAGAGCAAGAATTATTCATAATTATTTTCCGAATGAAAAATAAATTCTCAAATCCAACGAGCAACAATCGCCGGAAATATGGGCTTTATTGTTATTTAATATTCAATTTCAATTTTATTTATTGCTATAAATTAATTTATTTTAATACTCCCTCTTTGAGTTTCACTTTATATAAAATGTTTTACAAATACAGAAATTTTATTTGGAATGCATGGTTTTTTTTTAAAAGTTTCCAAAAATTTTTGTACTCGTATAACGTCATCGATATTAAACCACAATCGATTTAATATTCATATTGTTGCATAATAATAAAATCTTATAGCCAAAAAAACTGAATTTTTTGTTTAATTTTTTTTATCAATCTAGCTGTGTGTATACGAGTATTCGATTAATAGAATCGAAAAAATGAGACGTGAAAATATTGAAAGGTAATTGAATTTTATTTTTTTCTTCTATTTTTTACGTTTTGTTTTCCAATTTTATTTTAATTATTATCATTAACTGTAAATCTTACAATTTATTAAAACAAAAACTATGAAATTTCATAAAAACAAAAAAAAAAAAAATGAAGTAGAAAAATATTTTTTTAAAGAGCGATAGAAGTGTCTATTTAAGGTGTGTTCGTTATTATGTTATCGTATAACAACGAGACAAAAAATTTTATGAATTACTTAAGAATCGAATAATATTTAAAAATTTAAAAAATCGAAAAATAAAAAAAACATTTTAACATTGCAGTCAACATTAGAAAAACATTTAATAAAAATTAACAAAAACAAAACTGAATGACTGATACGTCATTTTCCCGTTTAAATAATATTTATCGTTTTCTTTCGTGTTATGTAGCAGATTTGTGTACATGAAATTTTATGCTATGTTATAAGGCACTGATTAAACCTACACTTATATGAGGTCGTTTTCCCTTACTTATATACGAAATATTTCAAATTATACGGCAAAATTGGAAAAACAAAAATGTTTTTGATTCTTTTTCAACCATTTAATTTAAAAAAAATTTTTTATTATATACGGGATGGGTTAATATGATGCTATTGTAATAATTCTATGACGAACCGACATATTGCATAAAATTTTAAATGTTACTCAATTTAAATGTTGTCTTGTAGGTAGTTTGTAAAAAAAATATTATTATAAATGCACATAAAGCATAAAATTTTTAGTATTTAATAGCAAATTTGAAAACATAGTTGAACAAAAAGTCAAATGTCAAAATCATAATTTTTTGTAAATAGATTTATAAGAAGAGTTCTGATATAACGTATAACATTTACTTGTTAAAAACATCAATGTATGTTTTGCTATATTGAAAATTTTTTATACTTAAATTCAATAAAATCTTCCACCTTTCAATTACTTAAATGTTTTATTGAAGTATAATACGGGAAGATTCCTTTCACAATTTGACAGCTTACATGTTATGTAGGCCACCTATATTTATTATTAATTAATTATATTTAAAATATCAAGTAATTTAATAGCGAATTTTAACAGTAATCAATTTCGTAATTTCAAATCAGCAGGGTCCATGAAAGTATGCAATTTGCTAGCTCCATAAATATTTTTGCCAACCGATATAGAAATCTCTTTTTTTTTAAGTTTTACATATTGCTCCTAAATTAATAAATTATTCTTAAAACTATAATAATTATTTTTCTTTAAAAACATGCAAAAGTATTGATAAAAAATTGCATTAAAAGCACACGCATGCAAATTAAATTGAAAAGAAAACTTTTTACAATATTTTTACTTTTACAAATATCTTATATAAATAAATTTTTAAAAATTTAAAAATATTTAAATTCTCCTATCATAATACGAGTACATATATAATTGATTCTCGTGCAAAATACACACAACTCTAACGACTGTGTCCTATAACAAAAAATAACGAAAACAAAAGCGGAAAGAATTTTTTTTTTAAATCTCGTGCTAACCTGAATGATATCGTTTTTCGTTGTGTGTTATTCGTCGTTGTGTTCGTCTAGCACGATTTTGACCATGACCGCCGCCTCCGCCTCCACTTCCACTACCATGATGTGAAGATGATGATTTATGATGTGAATGACGATGTTGTGATGAAGGTAACGATGGCAATTCAGTTTCATAAACATAACTATAACCCTCTGATTGTATTGGGGGTGGTGGTGGTGGCTGATTATTTGTATTACCACCATTTCCACCGCCACCCCCACCAACACCTTGATGATCTTTTAAATTATAATATGGTGGCATATTGCTGTTATCTTTGCTACCATTATTACCACCACCACCACCTTATTTTTCATTTTGATTTTGAAATTATTTAAAAGATTAAAAGAAATTTATAGATATATATATGTATATATACATACGTTTATACAATTGTATTTTATTTTTATTCTATATTACAAGTAAAATGATGGTTTTTCTTTTTAGGAATTTAAGAGAAATAATTTTGATTTCAACGCAAAAGATAGGCACAAAATAAAAATAAATTAAATAAAACAAAAATTTACATCTGTAAGGAATAAGAAGAAAAAATCCTTAAAAAATAAAAAGGAAAATGAAAAAATAAAAGAGAAAACGTTAACAAGTTTTGTCCGTTTGAATGTCCTAACAGATTTTCTTAAGGAAATCAAATCCACACTTGTGAAATATGCTATTTTTGGCTTCCTTTTATAGTTTTTAAATGTGAACATGAATGTGTAAATTAATGTTGCAAGTCTTAAAAAAGGTTTCCTTAGAACCTACACATAGAACTACGATATTCTTATATACATAATATATACATAGATGTTTAACTACATTTAACAACATTAAATTTTTTATACTCCTTTGGGCTAAATTAAGTTTTTCTTCGCAAAATTTGAGAAGAATTTTCTCGTAGGTTTATGAAGTTTTGGTATTTTACTTGTGAATTTTATTTATAGAAAATTGCAGGAGCAAATTATATTTTTTTACCTATTTCTAGAGTTGCAAAATATATGTGAATTTTTATAATATTTCAGATAAGTTTTATACATATGTAAATATACAGAAAATAATATTAGGTTTAGGTCTCTTATGACACTTATAATATGGTACTTTTATAGCACTAAATTTGTGCATAGAACTCTTCTATGTGGTGTAGAATGAAAAACATATGCAATGACGTTGGTCTGTAGTGTTATTTTATCAATGTCAATAATTTACAAAAAATTTTTACAAGACTTAGAGAACAATTTAGGTAAGTTTTTTTTTTACGTTCTGTAACGGTTTTAGTCAAATATTTCGTTTTTTTATGCCTTTTGTGCTGTGACATATGACATTGAAATATTTGTACTATAAATTTAAGGAAGCAAAAATCAAACGCCATCCAAATTCTCATTAAATTCTAACTTAAAGTTGATTTAAAATTTGAGTTCCTCAAATGTCTAATTGTATACAAAAAAGGTAGGCCAATAACAAAAATTTTTAGTCTTATATGCTTTTAAACTTTAACTTTATTTTAGCATGTCTCATAGCTCTGTATAACATACTGTATTTCGAAATGGAAAAATGCTTACAGCAAAAATCTAAAGCTAATACAAGTGACGCAAAACAGGTCTATAAAAATTAATGCGTCTCAAGAGATACATATAAGACCACAATATTTTGCCTAGACTTATTAATTAAATATAAAGTTACTCTGAACACAACAATAATGAAGTATACAGGTATGATACAAAGTCTGTTGAGAACATCAGAGTTGTTTCATCAAATATTCGATTCAATCGTCATGACACAATGTTTAACTTACGACATTAATATTATTTAATGGTAATCCATTATTACCCAATGGAATCAAATGCAAACAGTTTCAACCATCAACTAAATAAGTATTTTCTAAAATCAAATATAATCAGTTACAAAATCATTACTGAATTTTTACTTTATTGAAATATTTAAATCAGTTTAAATTTTATAATAATTTTTAGTTTCCTTTAATTTTAGTATCCAATTGAATATTTGTTGTATTTTTTGAAATTACTCGTATTACTTTTTTGAGTTGTGCTTAATATTTTGTTGTTCCATTTATAAATTTTGGTTATTAAACACACTACACGAGTGATTTGGCTCATTTGAAATAAATAAATTAATAAAAAATAAAATAAAATAGAGTCGCGCTAGGCCTAAGCCATAAGGGGGAAGAAATTCGCTAAAATAATTTTAAATTATTAAAAAATACTTCCCAAATTAACACTACAAAATCAACAGAGATAAAAAATTTTTAAATCTAGAAAAACAATTTTCAGTAAACTAAAATAAAATTGAATATTTTGAGCTGTTCTTATAGTTCTGAAATGACTAATGACAGTTTATTGTAAAAGTTTAATGACTTTACTCACATTCCTTTTACATGGGAAATATTTAAGATTTTTGCTTACAATATTAATTTTAACAAAAAAAGAAATAAGAGTAAAAAGTAAACCAAACTATAAAAATAATTTTATAGTTTTATGTTTTGCCCTTAAGTGAATCAATGAGGGGATCAATTTTTCAATTATAGAAATCGATATATAATTTATTTGAATTTTTTTTTTATCTTAAAACTTTTCTATATACGAGTATATGTGCAAAGGTAGATTAGATTTCTCCGATTCAAAATGGGCAAAAAAAAAATACATATATAAATTTATACTCATTGCATATAACACGATAATTTCCAATATATTTTCGATACAATGTCGACAACGACGACGATGATGACGATGACGACGAACCACGAATACGTACGTTGATAATCATTTCCACGCAATATTCATTATTATTCAGAAAGAGCCCTTTGACTCTTATATTTTGTTCTAAGCATAATTTATAAATGTTCAAAAATATTTTTTTTCTTATTTTTTTTCTTCTTTTATCATACTTTTAATTTTTAAAATATATAAAATGATTAATGGCCCGCAGCTTTAGAAAAAAAATACGTATACTCTTTTTTTGTTCTTATAAAATTGCCTGAAAATTATTGAAAAAATTTTTCATAAACTCAAAACACGTAAACTACATTTTTACTATTGATTAGTTTAATTTTTTAATCTGCGAATACTAAAATTATATTCAATTTTAGTAGTACAAAATGCATAAGGTACCTCAAAGGTATGAAAAAGAGAAAAAACCAGCGCACGTGAAAGATTGATGAAAAGATTCTTTATAAATTAATATTCTAAAACCGGGTCGATAGTTTAAAAAGAAAGTGAAGTTTCTTAATTTATAAACCTTAGCTAAGTAAAAGAATTTGGGGCTTTATACGCTGCCATAACACAGCAGCATTCACTGAAAAGAAGCGAAACAATATTTTAATGATATAACAGGCACTTGCCAGCCATTGTACATAAATTTGCCATTGTACAAGAACAGAAGAGAACACAATTTTTCTATATTCGTGACAACGTTCAAATTTTTTTTTTGGACATTGCTCAAGTATTTAGGGAAAATTTGCTTATTATGAAATTTTCTCCCTAATTCTTCTTTCCGTTTAAAAATTTTTTAGAACAAACAATATGCAAATTCAATAGATCAAGGAGAAATCATATTTCTTCCCTAGCCTAAACGCTTCTAATAATCCTCAGTTATCGCCTCTCAAATTTGTCATTAAATAAAATTTCTTTGCTAAAATAGTGCACTGTAAATTAATTGTTACACTGTTAAGTATTGCTATTTATGAACTTGAAAGTAATCATTAGATCGATTTGAAAAGAGAATATAGAAATATTATTTATGATACTGTTTTGAAAAGTAAAAGAATTTGTTTGACAAGGCAAGAGTAAGTGTTTTCAAGTTCTTCAAATTTTAAATTTGCTTACTTTTCATTCAATATCAGAACCTTATTGAGTGTAAATTGAAGCTATTTTGATTGAATAATTGGTGAGTTACTTATTTTTCTATATTATTGTGTTAATTAACAAAATTATTTTTGAATAAAATTTTAAAACATTTTATTATAGCATTTATTTTTATCAGAAGCAAATTTATGTAAAAATTTACGAGGGTTTTTTTTATTATAAGCGCAAGAGTACCTTTAGTTTCAATAGCTCACGTACCTTCGAGTATCACGTGAAATTTTCTTAAATTATAAGTGTTTATCGTTTTTAAACACAATTCTTAAGGACCAAAACATTTCTTCATACAGTATGGCTGCAGCAATAAAAAATCAGGAAAATTTTTTTTTTGTCCTTATGTTGTCTACCTAGCTTTATAATCTTGTTTTAGTCGCGATGTCAGTTGGTGGTTTTCATATTTTTTTTTCCTTTTTTCAACAAAATGGAAAAAAAAACCAAAAAACTTGTAAAATTCAAGTTCTTTTACATGTTTTTTTTTTTGTAGTTCTTTTTTTTTCATTTATTAGGTATTTATTTTTAGTTTTTAAAATATTTTTTTTTGTTATCCTATTTTAGTTCATAGTTCTCGCATAACTTTACTCTAATATGTGAATACGTGTTTAAAAAAAATGTAGATTTTAAATTTGAAACAAACAGGGTTCACACTCTGTTAATTTTTATTCAAGAATATTTGTAAGTTTTTTAGGTGCATGTGGCAGCACTACATTTCTAAGTAAAACAAATATGTAATACGTACTTCTTAAATTTGACAGCGAATTGACTTGAAGTGATTTTAATTTTTGAAATTTGATCTGATTTTAAGTAGACAGCTACGTTAAATAGACGTTTCGTTAAACTTTCAAATCTAAGTTAGTAAAGAAAATTTTAATAAAATAAAAGTTTTCTCAAGTCTTTGTTAAAAATTTCAAAACTAAATGTCTATTATATAATAAACTTAAGTAAAATTAGCATTATTGGTAATGGCAAGCCTGAAAATGTAATTTTAAACACAATAAACAATATTGCTAAGTTGAAGTTGGTGTGTGTTATAGAAGTTGTAAGTTTTCGTAAAAGTAAATAATTAAAATTAGATAATTTTTAAATATAATCAATGTATGAGTTTTGTACGAACTACATAGTAAACCTTAGGACAAAACGAAAAGTTTTAAAATTTAACGAAGGTTAACTTAGGGCAATTATAGTTGAATGTGTGACGTTGCATACATTTATACAAAACTTTACCCCATCTTCAATTACCGAATAAAAACACTCAATACTTTGTAATTTATATCTTAAAATCCTAAACACCCTGTTATGACTTTTAAAAAATAGAAAAAATGCAAGAAATAATTATTGTAAGAAAATTTGTTGCTAGAATAAAAAAAAACAAAAAAAAAATAAAGTATTTTTGAAAAATTTAGCAGCAGCGAATTTCAAAAATAAAAAAAAGGAGAGAAATCATTTTAGCGAATCGCCTTTCGCGATTTTTTTTCTTATTTTTTGTTTTTTGCTACTCTGCTTCGCTATTTATTTTGTGTTTATTAAGTGTAATGTGTAAATGTTTGTAATAGCTCGGTTAGAGTTAGGTTTTTTTTTTTAGTTTTAGAAAAATAGTTTTTTACTTTTTGTAATTTTCTTGGTAAAAAGAGCCCTTTTAAAATGTTGTATTAAATGTTGTGTGTGTAGGAATTGGAAAATTAAATTTTGTGTCAACGTTTTTTTTCAAGGTCTTTTTTAAAATATTTTTTTTTTTTTGCAAGGAGTTTTGTTTGTTTTGTGAATTGTTTAATCACTTACTGCGATATTTTTTCTACTCTTGCTCTAAGACTGGTTTTTTGACTTCTTTTTTACTTCTAGCAAAACATTTAAGTTTTTTTTTGTTTTTGTTGTGGAAAATTGAAATTCCATGTTGACTTGCTATTTGGTTGTTTTTTAGAAGCTTGTCTTTTACGCCGAAGGATTTATCATATTCTGTTGGTAAATTGCTGTATTCGTTGGCATTTATTTTTCTTTGTATGTAATTTTTATAAAATTATTTTTATAGATAAAACTTTTTAAGAATAAAATAATAATAGTTTTTGTGTAGGTTGGAATTTTCATATTCTACAATTTTTCTTGTTTCAATTTTTTTTTATGAGACGCAATTTAGTTTCTAGAATTTTCATTTTTAAAGATGGTCATACACTTACATACATGCCTATAACAGTAGTATTTTAAGTTAAAATATTGATTGCGAATATTTGCGACGAGCACAAAATTTACTTTCATACTATTATAGGTCTTTTTAGTCTAATTGCTATTTAATTAAGAATTTAATTAGATTTGTTGGCAATAATAAGAATTTTAATTCTAATATTAATATTTTGATTTTTAAATTAAACAAAGCAACTACATAGAAGCAAATTTATAATTTTTACAGTCACATCATTTATAGTTTGAAAGCTGTTAAAGAACTGATTTTTTTTATTCTTTGAAATACATTTGAAGTTAATGAGCTACAGCAATATTGTATTCAAAATATCGCACACATATTATATGAAAATGTCGCAATAAGTGTAGCGTTAAATCAAAACTATTCACAATAATCTATGGTTAGATTTTTAATTCTACTAGACATAATTTTAAAACTTTTTGATTCAATTTCATAATTGATTTAAATTAAGTTAAATAGACATATGAAACTCGTTTTCCTAAAATCAAATTGATTCTTGAAATTCAATTAAAAACGAGATTAATCATTGCAAAAACTTATCCTAAACTCAAAAATCGCTATTCAATAAATTATTTTAAAGTAAATTGTCAATAAATTAAATATGTATAACAGTTAAACAATTCAGTATAACAATAATCAGACTACATTTTAGGCATTTTTTCCAAATCATTTGGATTCTTAATTTATAAATCTTTCAATAATTTCAACCTTCTTTATTTTTCTTCTATCTTCCACAATCATTTATTTTTATTTATGTCGAAAATCCATGAAAAATTGCACATTTCTAATTCGCAGGAAAAATTAAAATTCAAATAATTCTTAATACTATATATTCTTAAAAATAGTCTTACTTATAACCTATCTATATAAATATTACATTCTCTTTTTAAAAAAATATTAATTTTTAATCTATTATAAAATTAAATCTAATTACTTACTATAAAATTTATAGCAAGGCATAATTAGTCAACTTTAGTAAGTAAGTACTTTTTTTTATAAAAGTTTTAGTAGTGTTAGTAAAATCTGATATTAAGGTTAAATGAAAAAAGAAAAAATAATTATGAAAAATAACAACTTAATTAACAATAAAAATATTTAAATAAAATTTTAAAAATTAAACGAAAAAAAAATTAGGCAAGGGAAAAGTATTTCTTTTGTAATTTTATTTTAAAAGTTCTTTAAGTTTTTTTCACTTAACTCACCTTGTGAATTTTTATTTACATATGGTTGAAGCAGTCTTGTCCGTTTCTTTTCATATCCTTTCTGTGTTATATCACCTGCAATTAAAAGAAAACCAAAGAATAATATGAGAATTAGGTTAATGGTTTTAACTGTTTTTAAAACAAAAAAAAATGTTGCATGTTAGTCATAATAGCAGTCAAAATAAATTATATATGGCAAGAAATTACTAAAATAAATATACATACGTATGTATTCATATTGGAATATGCTGTAGTTACCAACCAATTTCAGTACTTTCATTCCTTTCATTTAAATTAGTTTTAATTAGGTATTATTGGAAGGGTAAAAGAAGAACACAAATTGGAAAGGAATTTCTAGAATAATTATTTAATTTTTAATTTTTTTTTCTGTTCCCCAAATTGGTATAAAATGATTTTTTTTTTTAATTTTATTTTTATTTTAATTAGCGTATACAAGTTTTTTCATTTTAATTGGTATTCAGCTTTGTAAGATAAATTTTTTTTAAAGTTTAGGCCACATCTTTTAGCCATAAAAATCAGTGAATTTTGGTTGAATGTGAATAGAATCGATGCAAACGGAAGTTTTGATTAAAAATATAAATTTAATCATGGTACGACATGTGCTGATAAATTGATAGCAATTTATTGTTATGTATATACTTTGGATATAGATATAATCAGAAACAACTGACAGTCATTAATGTCAAAATAGCAGCAATTGTCGAAAATTATAAGAATTCGGTTATCGCAGAGTAGGAATCCACTTATTAAGAAAAAAATTATGGTTCTTCGAGTGCAGGGGGTTTCAGGCGGAGGTATACGCCATTGACATGTGCGTTGAGTTCAAACTTGAAAGTAAATATCGGGGGCGGGAAACACATCCCACACGTCTAACAGTCAGGCTGCCATGGCTCGATGTGCTCACAAGAAAAAGGTTAGTCAATTGAGAGAATTGTGGAGGAAGCGATCGGAGAGCGGAGGCGGCTTCACTAACTTCAACAGGCCAAGGAGCTTTTGGAGAACTGCGACCAGAGGGCTTGAGAATCCCCTCGGTAGCTTGAGCCTAGAGAATATAGACACTTTCAGATTTTGTGGAACAGAAAATTTTTTAATGCTTCGCAAAATTTTGGCTTTGCCAAAAAATAGCTTAGATTTGGAGATCTGAACTGGAACAGAACTAAATACTCGCCATAGCTCAAATTCACAAAAATATTAACACATTAACATTAAATGAATTACTGTCAAAGAAATATCCAATAAAAAATATCAAAGAGTTCCTTCACTTGTAACAGTAAAATTAATGAGATTTTTTTTTGAGAAAAATTTTATTTAAAAAAAAAAAACAAATATTTTAACAAAACACTTAAATAATTGGATGACTTCACAATAGAGCGGAATTTGCTGAAAGAAAACAAAATAATATGAAGGTAGAAAAAATCATAAATCAACAATTGCTGATTCCCGTATCAAATTTTTTATGTATCCAATTAGTTTTTTCCCTTATATTGACAAAAATTTAAAAATATAATCTAGTGTTTTGTTTTTTTTTGGTCTTCTTAGCCCTCAATTAATTTTATATTTTGAAAATATAAAAATAATAATTAAATTATGTTCTCTGTAAATGGAAAAAATTTGTTTCTTCTCTATTTTATATTAAATTGCAACCTACATTTTCTCGCACCTTAAAATATTCAAAAATTTTTCCATATATACAAATATTAGGTATACAGTTTGTTTATTATTATTCAAATGTAGAAACTAGAAAAAAAATTAAAACTACCAATTTTTACTACTAAAAATCACATAAAAACGCAATATTAAAATTTCAAAATAACTCAAGTCGCAATTCTTAACTGTATATGTATGTATATGTAAATATTTTATTTATAAATTAAAAAAAGCATACATATATGGGTCAAAATTTAAAAGTTTGCACAAATGAATTTTTTTTTTTCCAAATTATTTTTTTAGAATTTTTTATTAAAATAATTTTTTTATAGTTGCCTAATATATAATGTACAATCTCCTCAAGTGGTCCGGAGGTTTTGTAAATATTTTAGAAATTATAACCAAAAAAGTAAGCTCAGGTTTGAATTTAGTTCAACTACGTTACCGATAAAAATATCTTAAATTTTTCGATCTCTTCAATGGAAATTATTATTTTCATATTTTACTCTCATTTGTAATTAAAGTTATAAATAAATTTATTCTGTAATATTGAAAAATCATTTTTATAAAAAAATAAATTATAAGTTATTTCAACTGTGTTACTAATTTTAAATTTAAAGTTTTTATTTTTAAAATAAAACTATTTAATAGTTTTTTTCTTGCAGGAATTTTTACATAACTGCTTTAGAAATTAATTTTTTATTCTAAAAATGTCCATAACAAAAAAATTAAGAGCTTAAATTTGAAGAAAAAAGTTTAAAACAATATTTTTTTTTGATTTTTTTTGTGACAAAACAGTAACGCAGTGGAAAATATAGTAACACTGTTGAAAAATTTGATTCAGTCTTCAGTATATTAACAAAAAAAATTAAAACAAAAACAGTAAATTTCATGCTGTTGTTTAATATGCTAAGATATTAACTTTTTTCCTCTCGATGAAGTTGTATATATTCGGTTAAGTTTTTCATTTGCATTTTTAACAATATACATATTTAAAATATAAATAGATAGTGGCATTTTGTATAATAATCAATAAAATATGTTATCGCCTATTTGTATGTAAAATTATTAAGAATTTATTCACCAACTTAGAGTAAACTGCCTTAAAAATCAACTTTCTTACCATGTCTTCAGTAGTGTTACTTAAATTTAGTAACACAGTTGAACAGTAACGCAGTAGAATATTTTAAAATAAAAAGTATATTAACATAAAACTACAACATATTTTTGCATTTTAAAGTATACAGTTGGTTAGTTTACTTGGTTTGCTTAATAATATGCCACTTTTTTGAATTTTAAAAAAAAATATTTAAACAAAAACCACGTAACACAGTTGAAAAAAGCGTTTTACATTCACGGCAAAAAAAATTCAAACTATCTCCAGCGATGTGTTTGGAACAACATTCACCACTAGCCCGAACAGACTTATTGCGTATTCTTTAAAACAAATAATGATGCCAAAATATTTAAAAAAATGATTAATTTTAAAAAATTTTATGATGTAACATAGTTGAAGTAACGCAGTTGAACAATTCTAGTGACACACTTTTTTTCTGTTAAAATTACATTAAAATAAATTAAAACTTAAAAACTAATTTTTGATTTTTATTTAAAAATAATGAAATAATTTTGCAATGTAATTTAAAATATATCCTTCTGTGGGGGAAGTTCATGAAAATTTAAATTGAAAATTAAAAATGTGGTCTGTGACAAGTTTCATTTATATGAAAACAGAAAACGCGCTCCGACAATTTTCCAAAATTTTCCAAAAATACTTACTTTTGCAATCTAAAAATTTTTTTTATTTAAAATTAAAGATTTTATAATTTTTATTTTATTAATTAAAATTTGATTTATTTTCTAAAAAAGTATTTATTTAAGCTTACTTTTTTGTGACGCAAATGTGCTAACTTTTAAATTTTCACCCATATACATATTAGGTAATTCTGTAATAAAATGGATTGAAAAAAGAATAAATTTATTTGAAAAATATTGAAGCTTAATTAGAGTTCAAATTTTGCACCAAAAATAGTTTTGATAAACACTTGTGGCGCTATCTAGTTGTTGTTAATGATAATGTGTTGAATAAAAATTTCTAATTCAAGATACAAATGCAATAGTCAACCAAATATTGAATTTCTAATTAAGTAGTATTGCACACATATTCCGGCAGATGGCTTGACATTTTTATATGGAAAACTAGAAAATAAAGATCAAATCCACATTACTAATACAATGTGTAGTTGTTTATTTTTTTTTAAATTATTAATAAATTCTTAAAAGAATAACTAAAGGAAATTTCTTCATATAACTGCAAGAGAGATGAGTGACGTAATCAGCGAAACCAGTTTCAAAGGCAGCAAAATTAAACTTTTTTTTCTCCTCGAACTGGACTCGAACCAGCGACCTACCTCTTTCTAGGCGGACGCTCTACCAACTGAGATGCAGAGGTATGACGAAATTGCCGAAAAATTGTTCTTCTCTACATGTATTTTTTAAAGGATAAAGAAAACAAGTTATGTGCGTTAAATTTGTCATTATAGAGTTGTCAATTTGCAATAAAGGTTATTTGCTAATTCTTATTTTTAGTCAAATATTCAAATGATTGTATTCTTAGTAAATTTAGTTGTTTTTAATTCTTTTATTCAATTAAAGTACTGCTAAATTTGAAATTGACACTAATTAAATATGCAATCAGACAAAAAAAAATATTTTTATATTCATACCGTCATTAGGAATTTATAAATGCATATTTGTAATGCAAATGCTTATACGAGTACATTAAAAATATTAAAATTTATGTTGGCGTTTAGCTTTTTATTTTCTGGGGAGGTTTGCATGTCTCGCTCACAATGATATTCATTTGATTGTACATACATTTGAACATACAATATTCTATGATACTACATGTTGTGATACAAGCGTTTTCTCTTAATGTATTAAAACCACTGGTTTAAAAATGTTGCATGTAAATTTTTCATAAAAGGCGTGAATAATTCTTTTTGCTGGTTCATTTAATTTAGGTTACTAGTTTTATTTTAAATTTTATTTTAAATTTTTTTTATTTTAATGATTCATAAAATTTAAGTAATATTACATGTTAAAGAAATTAATTAAATTATATATTTATTATAATTTAAAAATTTAAAATAAATTGTGGTAGATTTAATTAAATAATTTCTTCAAAAAAAAATTGATTTTCTCTTTAAATAAATGAACTTTGTAATTCAATTTTTAAATTTAAATTCACAAAATGTAATTGCAAAATTTGCAAATTTTCAAGATGATTTAGTAATTTAGAATAAAACTTTGTTGTTGCAGGTTGGAAATATGGATAAATATATTGATCTAAGTATTTCGTTGGTCATCTTAGTTCACGTTTGATTTAAGTGCATACAACATTCTAA